GGTGAAGAAAGAAATTGGACAAAGAATTGATATTCTCGAAACTGACAAAGAACTGATATTGAATTATTCACAATGACAAAAGAAAACAATGAAAGAGTGAAAGAATCCGAATTTGAGAAGAGAATTGATGAATTTATGTAGAAAAAACAGTAGAGCACTGCAACAGAGCACTGAAATATTTGATGATTTTTGCATCAAAATGTTCGTAAGTTTTATTCTCTAGAATAAAACTTATCCCTTCGTTTTTGGTTCTAGTCCCTCGTTGTCGAGTTACGAGCTCCAAACTGCAGGGTACCACAAAATTTCCCATACAAAATGACCAAAAAAACCGCTAAAACTAAATTTAAAAAATTTCTGTCAGAGGGATTTGAAAAATTCCTTCAGATTCGGAATCAGCACAATTTTCCGCATCTAAAAAAGGTACTCCCAGAAAAATCCGATAGAAAACGCATTTTCGCGCCGATGTGCACTGTGTTCTTTATGGTTTCCCAAATTCATGCACCTTGCGGTGAACTTGGCTAATTAAACCGGTAGAACGGGATTGCCGGTGATTCTCTATCCCGGCAGTGTGCCAGAAACCGCTTTTTCATACGAGCAATATGAAGAGAACACACAGTTCTTTGTGAGACAGACAGAAAGACAGACAGAAAGACAGACAGACAGAAAGACAGTTAGATCTAATGCTAATGGATCTAATCCTCAAAAATGGACATGAATGAAATGAAATGACATGAAATGCCTTGACTTGAAAACTCTAATATTGATAAATCTTTTAAATCTTTCAAATCTTTCAAATATTTCATGCTTTGTTAAGTAAAATATAGAAAACACTGAAAATTGGACGCTGAAAAATGCGATGATTAAAACACGGCCATCCAAATGTAATTACATGGATGGTTGTGTGAGTGTGAATGAAAGAATTGAAGATAAACCCCTAAAAGGGGAAAAGAGGAGACTCATTCGACGAGTAAAAGAAAGAGAACGAGAAGGACATTTTCGGTTAATTAGATGGATGTTTAGAGGAGAGGAGATGGAGAAAAGATTGTTAAAAGAAAGATATCGAATTATTATTTAGAAATTGGGGAATCTTGATTGGAATTTTTTTTCTACAATAGCTTGTTTTCTTTAACAATGATAAATATTAGGTGGGTGAAAAAGTAATCCACGTTTTTAACGTTTATGCGGTATCCATTTGTCCAACTTTTTGATAAAATTCATGGCATTTAAGCGTTTCCTTACGTTACAATTTAATCGTATCACAATTTAATGTAAGGCCTATTTCTGAAGAGGTTGAACGAGGGTTTTCGAGAAGACAGCGTCTTATTTGGTCATCCGAACAGGTCTCAGGGCGACCGCCACGTGGTTCATTGTCTAGGCTTTCATTACCACCTTTGAATCGTTGGAACCAAAACCTAGCGGTATCATCAGTAACGGCGTCTTCGCCAAACGCATTCCGAATTCGACGTGCAGCCTCCGCAGCTTTCAACCCATTTTTGAACTCATAAAGCAAATTTGACCGAATAACGATACTTGTGTATACCATTTTCAAACTAAAATGAAAGTAGTTTATTGTCGTCCTTTTGACAAAATGAATATATCATTCGAAAGAGGAAAAAATAAGCTTTTAAACGATATATATATCGTTAACAAAAAATAAAAAATTGTTTAGATATATTTATTTAAACAAAATAAAAATAAAAAAACGTGGATTACTTTTTCACACACCTAATAGTTTTTTCAATTCATAAAGCTTCAGATGCAATCATCTATTAAGACAAAAATATTAGGTTGCCGGGAAAATAATGCGAACTCTTAACTTGTGCTCTTGGGAAAGTACTGGCAGAAAAACAGAGAAAACCGCGATAGTAACAGAGAAGCAGAGTGTGTTTGCTTACAAAATCATCATATTCGAAAACATTTGTTTATTTGTTATCAAAAATGATGGAACAAAAATTCCTTATTCGAGCTGCTTTACTCTATGACTTTACGCTTGGAAAATCTGCCCGAGAATCGCATAATTCTATCTCAAAAGCTTATGGCGAAGGTCAAACTATCATTAACAAGGACGAGGAACAAAAAATAATTGAGTTCTGCGAAGTCTTGGCGGTTCCCTACCGAGTCACCTTAAAGGTAGAAAATTAAGTAAAGACATACCTAAATTTACTCATTTCAGGGCCTGCAAAGAAGAAATCTGCTTTGTTCAATCTTACCGCCTGTGGCGATCCGCGGAAATTCAACTAGAGAACAACGCAATTCCCCTAGCTACGAAATTTCTTGAGCTTCTTCTACAAGCTATAGACTACAAGCTATAGACTTTGTTATAACCTCGATAATAGACGTAAAAAATTAGCTAATTTTTGACAAAAACCCATTATAGGAGGCATCATTCTTCGATCATCAAATACTATTCAATACAATGGCTAAAGACGAAACTGAATGGAACAAATGTGCTGATGAGCTAAAGCAAAGATATTAGGTTGGCGGGAAAATAATGCGAACTTTTAGCTTGTGCTCTTGGGAAAGTAATCGCAGAAAAACAGAGAAAACCATGATATTAACAGAGAAGCAGAGTGTGTTTGCTTACAAAATCATAATATTATTCAAAAACATTTGTTCATTTGTTATCAAAAAATGACGGAACAAAAATTCCTTATTCGAGCTGCTTTACTCTATGACTTCACGCTTGGAAAATCTGCCCGAGAATCGCATAATTCTATCTCAAAAGCTTATGGCGAAGGTAGTATTAGCGAAAGCCAATGTTATCGATGGTTTGTGCGATTTCGACGTGGAAACGAGAGCCTAGAAGATGAGCATCACGAAGGACGTCCTCGAAAGCTGGATGAGTCTCAACTTTTGCAATTTATCGAAGAAGATCCCACTTGCACCACTCGGGAGTTGTCTGAAATGTTCAATGTTCATCATAGCTCCATTGAAGAGCATTTACATTTGATTGGAAAGCGAAACAGATGCGGAAAATGGGTTCCACATGAACTGACCCTCAATCACAAAATTGCCCGTATGAACACTTGTTCAATTTTAATTCAAAAATCAAAAGCGCATGATTTTTGGAGGCCAATTGTTACTTCTGATGAAACGTGGATATTATATGATAACGTTAAGCGCAAGCACCAATGGCTATCACCAAAACAAGCCCCGGTTACCACGTCAAAACCTGGTCTGCATGGAAGAAGTTGATGTTGTGCGTATGGTGAAACTTTCGTGGATTGGTTTATTTTGAACTGCTCAAACCGGGTAAGCTCACAGCTGAACTTTACAGTGGGCAGTTAGAGCGTGTGAATCAAGCTTAATCGAAATCTCGACATGACACTTCAAAAATTTGGTTTTTGCATGATAATGCAAAAACCAAATTTTTGACACATTTTAGTGAAATACACTCTATTCTTAAGCGGTGAACCCTATGCAAAATCATGCGTTTTGTTTCATTTTATCAGGGTAAAAGCATCAGCATGATGAAACGAAAAACGAGACGATGAAACGAAGGCGACTGGCACACCAGGACAAGATTCACCGGCTGATCGATCGATCACCAGTCAAACAGAGCTCATGTTCTATTCTTTGAATGTTTCTCTAACGATTCCCCGAATGTTTCCCCGAAAATCGATCACCAAATCAAATGATCTAATGATCAAATTCAAATCTGACTATAATTCTTCCTTAGAGCCATTTTCGTTCTTTCTCACCAAAACTCACAGCTCAAACAATCTCATTCAAACAAAAGAATCAACTCTTTTTTAGCTTTTGTTTTCTCTTCAGTACATACCTACTTTTCACTTCCACAGTAACATTCTTAAAAGTCTAACCCCCAAGTCTAACCCCCAAGTCTAACCCAAAATTTAATCTACTTTGTACTCTCGTCCGTTTTGTGTTTTGCTTTTAAAAGATTTCATTGCTTGTTTCTTTATTCTTATAAAATAATTGATATTCAAATGTTTTATTATGACAAAATGACAGAATGACAAAGAAAAAGTTTCATAGCAAAATTGTTTCATGATCCAACTACAGGGTGGCTAATAAGTATTGTCGCGTGCTTGAACGCGTGTTACTCCTCGACGTTAGTTTCAAATCTCATGAGTAACGTACCAAAATGTTGCTAAGAGTCTAGGGAATCTAAATATATGGATGAATTTTTGAGACAATCACTGTGAAAGATTTAATTGCAATTTTGCTCTTCAAAAAAGGTACTTTGCTCGAAGGGAATTCTAAGCTACCCATACAAGTAGAATTTAGGGCATAGAATCGAAATTTTGGCATATCAGAGCTTGTGGAACCAATTTGAAAGACAAAACGGCTAGGTCAAATTACAGAAAATTGTTGATTTTTCTCTTTGTATAACTCCGTCCGTTCGCTTCCACAAGCTCTGATATGCCAAAATTTCGATTCTACGCCCTAAAATTACCTAGAAAAACAACATTTGGAATAGAAATTGGTTAATATTAGCTTTTAGAGCTTTTTTAAAACGCGAAAAAAGGTGCGCTAATGGGCTAAGTGCGGAAAAAAAAGGTGCGCAAATGTCCGGGTGCGCAAAAAAAGGTCGCATTTGTCCCACTCCCCATTTAACACAAAAATCTACTAATTGCACAAATTGCAAGAAATGGACCCAAAAAAAAATGAGAAATTTCCCTGAAAAACTCTACTTAACTCCCTCTGGAGTGAGCGAGAACAAGTGCGTTGTGATGGATGAAATCGGCTCAATCGGCTTCGTCCGCATCATTTTCATCATTTCCACAAAAGCCTTTATCATTTCTGAAATCAAGTTTCCATAAATCGTTTTTGAATTGTTGTTTGTTTTTGAATCAAATTTCTGAAGCAAGAAAACTGAGTGTAGTTTTTTTATGTCATGGAATTCTTATCGCAATTTTTAATTGGGAAAATTTGGTCGAAAAATTAGTTTTCAAGCATTATCGGGAGCATTTTGCCGATTTTTGACATTTTAAAAACTATATTTGAAGCTATATTTGGAGCTATACTTGGAGCTAAACATGTCCGAATCCAAGAAATTCTCGGATTTGAGGAAAATGTTCGAATCGGATAACTGTTTCACGGAGGAGAGTGCTGAGAAACCGGCAGTGCCTCGACATCGTCTTCTCAACTCAACCGTCAGCAAGTATTCAGTTCTTGTCGCTGAGACTTATGAAATAGCTGATCAATTCAGCGTTCAACCACAACAATCAGAAGATTTCACTCCACAGCCCGAACACTTCGCCTGGGAATCGATTGATCAATTGACGGGTAGAGTGAAGAAAAGTTCTCACTACGTCCAGAATAGATCGTCGTTCTCAAGGCCAGCCACTCAAAAAATCGATTACAGCAAAGAAGCAAAGCTGCTACCGATTGCTCCAAAACCGAAAATTGAGCAAAAACCGAAACTCCTTATGAATCAGTTATCAGATGCTCCAAAAGTAATCTTGGACTTAAATCTTCGGAAATACAATCAGAAGTTTTCTGGAGAAATCTTGGAATCTGTGAACATTTGCCAAGAGCAAGAAGAGCCAGAAGAAGATATTCCTTTGCCGATCAGAACCGCGAGTCGACCCAGCCGGAGTGTTATCTTCAAGGTAACTTCGCCTACTAAAACTACCATAATCCTAGCTCTATCTTTATCTAGTTATCTACAATCTATCCAGTTACCTACTATCTAGTTACCTACTATCTAGTTATCTACTATCTAGTTATCTACTGTCTAGTTATCTACTATCTAGTTATCTAACATCTATCCTTTATGAATCCTCACAAAATCAGAAGCTTAAAAAGATTGGAGACAAGATTACTGTAATGTAACAAGATTACGGTTATGAAAATAGAGAAAGATTACTGTAATGTGTTCCTTTTTGGTAATTCTAAAAAGTGTCAACTTTTGAAAACTAATTTTGCAAGAGGATTACGGTAGGCTTTAAAATATTGACAAATTTTAGAAATAGATAAAGTAGAGTTCGTTTAGTCTTTCCCGGAAATCTTTTCCGGCAGAAGTTCAAAAGATTTTTCAAGTCAAAGTCGAGAAGATCTCAAAGCAACGATTGAGTTGATGGTGGGTTTCAGGCTGGAATTATGATATCTATTTAATGGAGCTAATTCTGGACTCAATTTAAGCCAGCTATTAGTCTTTCTAAGCTTATAGTTAGACCAAAACGGCTAAATTCTTTACTAACAATTCAGCCATCTCCACCCTCACCGAAGCCTGATCAAGCCGATCATTCAATGGGACAATTGCCTCCAGAACAAGACTCAAATTGGGTAAAACAATCGTTATTTATAAAACAAACAAATATTTATAAAACAAATATTTATACAATTTTTAGATAAATCCCTCAAATCAAATCAATGATAAAATTGCTGAGCTCGACAATGAAATCAAGGATTTTGCTGATTATTTAGAGGTTCGGATCTTGTCCTCTAGTTATACTTTGAGCTGAAAATAGAAACGCACTCTTTCCGGTCCACTAAACTCTTCCTTTCCCTGGGAAAGAAGGATTCAGTGCATCAGAAGGGATGTGTTTATCAAGAATTCAGTGCATCAGAAAGAGTGCAACAGACAAAATTCAGTGCAACAGATTTCCTTTTAGCAACAAGTCGAGAAAAGTTGCACAGTTGATGCGATGACGAAACGAGTCGAGCAGTTGACTGAGAAACTTGGAGCAAAAATCTTTCTCCTCCCCGTTTTACCAAAAGAGAAATTTGAAGCAAACAATGTTGTCATCAAAAAAATTGATAATCTTCTCATTTCTTATAAAGGAGTCAATCGACGGGATCTCTACTTGCTCAAGGTTTTTCAGCTTACAAAAAATATTTCATAAACTATTCAGGATGTCATGATTACCTTAGAAAAAGAATTGAAACGAAAAAGCTTCATAAAAGTCGTGAGTTGATTCATAGTTGAAGTGTATTTTGCTTAAAAATGTCGAAACACACTTTTTCTGGTGCACTGAACGTTCTAAGAGATTTTATGAGGATTTTTGTAGCAGAAAGGGTTTGTTTAGACATTTTTGAACTTAAAATATACCTTGAGAATGAATTTTTAGTTTTTGTTCAGGTGGGCGCATTAAAGTACTCTGGGAAAAGATCAGAAAAAACATTTTTAGGATCACTTTTTTCAGAATATTGATAATATTTAGTTTGTTGAGGCTATGTTGACCTTTGACTTTTCGAAGTTTGAGAGAGATCTTGATCAGGTGAGCTCACTAAAAAAGATATTCAGCTGAGGGACTGAATATCTTTTAAAGAGGTTTTAAAGACGTTTTAAAGAGGTTTTAAAGAGGTTTTAAAGAGGTTTTAAGGTTCTTTTAAAGATCTTTTAAAGCTCTTTTAAAGTTCTTTTGGGAGTGGGACAAATGCGACCTTTTTTTGCGCACCCGCACATTTGCGCACCTTTTTTTCCGCACTTAGCCCATTAGCGCACCTTTTTTCGCGTTTTAAAAAAGCTCTAAAAAGCTAATATTAACCAATTTCTATTCCAAAAGTTGTTTTTCTAGGTAATTTGAGGGCATAGAATCGAAATTTTGGCATATCAGAGCTTGTGGAACCAATTTGAAAGACAAAACGGCTAGGTCAAATTACAGAAAATTGTCGATTTTTCTCTTTGTATAACTCCGTCCGTTTGTCTCCACAAGCTCTGATATGTCAAAATTTCGATTCTACGCCCTAAAATTACCTAGAAAAACAACATTTGGAATAGAAATTGGTTAATATTAGCTTTTTAGAGCTTTTTTAAAACGCGAAAAAAGGTGCGCTAATGGGCTAAGTGCGGAAAAAAAGGTGCGCTAATGGGCTAAGTGCGGAAAAAAAGGTGCGCAAATGTCCGGGTGCGCAAAAAAAAGGTCGCATTTGTCCCACTCCCAGCATTTGCTTTAAAGAAAACTTTGTTTCTTCGTCAAGATTTTCAGCTAATCGCCTTTCAGCTAATCAACTGAATATTTTCAATAGTTTGGATTTAAAATCGTATTTATTTAATCGGATTTATTGTATTTATTGTATAAAATCGTATTAAAAGATCGATCAATCTTGAAATTGATTTCTCAACACTTTTCAGCAACATTTCACAATTCCTAATACTTTCAAAAACGATTTTTCAGCAACTGATAACGAAAACTTTCAAGTTACAGATCTTCAAGAAACTCTGGCTTCTTTCTTCTCCAAATTTCTTCGATGCAGCACTTGAATTCTCACAAAATTATCTTGAGAGCATGAAATCTGACACCGATAAAGGTGAAGAAAAAGAATTGGAAGAGATTTACGTAACAAAGTGGATGAATTTCCTAATCACAAATCAGGTAAACGTAAACTTTCTTTTACGCAAACAACCAGGTACACTAGACTTTCTTGTCTACTTTGTGCTCAAAAAAATTAAACACAAACTAGCTGGCGCATTGAATTCTTTGATTTCCTTGTAGCAACAGTTGAATGTCAAGAGGAAATGTAATATTTTGTGTCCTAGAAAGAATGCGTTTCTATTTGTGTATATAGTACTGGACAATGAAATATCATATTTGAAAAACGATCGTCACTTTCGCGCGTAACTGTAACTCCCTTGTCTTTGAGTTTAAACTATTAGTGTTATACATTTTTTCAAGGCTCTTTTCAAGGGCTACACAATGGTAATATTAATATTTAGAAATATGGTAAAGACAAGGGAGTTATAGACGCGCGAAAGTAACGATCGTTTTTCAAATATCATATTTCATTGTCCAGTAGTGTAACTTAGAGATCGGTCTAACTCTTTGCGCTAGAAAGGATTCGTTTAAACTTAAATTTTAAACATAAAGTACAAAACAAAGAGAAGTTTTAGAGCGTTCAAGAGCACACCGCGAGCCTCATCTTTCGAAGAGCTACAGAAAATTTGAAGTGGAAAAATAAGGAAAAAGAACAAATAGTTTTTGAAGAGGCTCTCAATCGACGTGATCGACTTTTCGGAGCGCCAGCGAAGAAATGGAATGAAAAACTGAAATTGAGAGATTTGCGTTCAGAATAATGAACCTCTTATCGTCATTTATCTACATTTTTATAACATCGATTTGTTGCTGATGAAAGAAGCAAGAAAAATGCAATTGTAATTGTAATTGTAAGTATTGAATTGTAATGATTGTAAGTATTAAATTAAAAGTCAGGAGTTATGCAAAAAGTTACAAAAAGAAAGGAACAAAATTAAAGAACAAAATTAAAGGAATAAAACTAGAGGAACAAAATTAAAGAACAAAACTAAATCACAAAACTAAAGGACAAAATTAAAGGAACAAAAGCTAAAGGAACAAAGCTAAAGGACAAAGTTAAAGGAACAAAACGAAAGGAACAAAACTAAAGGACGAAATTAAAGGAACAGAACTAAAGGAACAGAGTTAAAGGAACAAAATTAAAGGAACAAAACTAAATGAACAAAACTAGAAACAAAATCAAAGTAAATTCTCATCTTGTTTTTCTTTTTGCATCAAAGTCATTAAAAGTCGATCTAGTTATTGAAATTTAAGCAATAAGTGAACAATAAAGACTCAAGAAACACTGAAATATTTTATTAGGAATGATTAGCGATAAGAATAACAGCATGGTAATACCCAATAATTTTTTCTACATAAGCCGACATGTTTCTTTTGGTTTTTCTTGAGCAGCGATAGCCTCTTGTCGACGACGCTCTTCAGCTTGGCGCAAACGTTCGGTTGCTTCTTGACGAATCTGAAAACTTGAGATTAAAGCTGAACTAAAGATTTCTACCTTAAAGATTTCAGTAGTACGTTCAAAAACCTTTATATTTACACACAGTTATATGAAGAAATATAAGCTGCTTCAAGATTGTAACAGATCTAGCGCGTAGTGGCTTAGTGGTTCTAAACTTATCGGCAGTTAGGGATGTTCCAAGTCATAGTCATAGGGTTTCCATTCGGATTGAGCGTGTAAGACAGAGCTGATCAGATCCAAGTTTAGCTTTTTGTCTTATTTGAAGATTCAAAGCTTACCCTATCCTCCGCACGACGGTGATTCTCAATTTCAGTTCGGCGAGCATCTCTAGCTTCCTCTCGGCGCTCCCTTTCCTTCCGCTCCTGAAAGACTTGGTTTAAGAAATAGAAAATAGAAAGTAAAAACATATTTACAATATCTGATTATCTGTTTTCTGATCTATTTCTACCTGTCTGAGCAGTTCCATCTCGACTTGACGCTGATGAGCGCGCTCGTCAGCAAGGTGTTGCTCCCGTCTCTCCCGCTCCTCACGATCAGCTCTCATTTGTTCCATTTGTCTAAAAAATGAAAGTCTTCCATTTCTATAATCTTTTAGCATTCATAAATACAAAAATAATCATTTCATAAGAAGCATTTCTTAAATAGAAAGACAAAGAGAGAGATGGAGAAATCCTATCCAAGTTCTAAAGCTGATTGTATCAATAGAGTTGATTGCAGAAAATCAATGACCTTTCCCTGCCTTCAATTTCACTATATTGAAGTCAATTCTAATCTGAAAGCTTTAGAAATTGAGCTCTTATTCTTACCTCATTGAGTTTTCATTCATCTCTTTCATCATCATGATCATTGGATGCATTGCCTGGTGCTTCTCGGTCGATTCGCGAGCCCGTTTCTCTTGATCTAAAATGGATCTTTTCCAAAAAAGAATAGCCCATTTACCCAGTTTCTTTTGCATTTCATTGAGCTCATCTTGTGTTTTTCTTTTCTCATCATTGAATTTCCGTTGTGTTTCTTGTTGTTTCGCACGGATTGCCTCCATTTTCGCCTTCAATTTCTCCATATTGAGATGCGTGCGTACTTGAGCCTCAAACTCGTTTTCGTGCTTCTAAAATCAAAAAAGTACAGTATGTTTTCTAAAAGTCATTTATTTAGAGAAACTACCGTAATCTTATCCCCAGTTTTCATTCAATTTTTGTATCATTGATTGAGCTTTGTGATTTCTCATCGAATGATTTCAAAATTTGACTGATTGAATGTTAATTAATGGTTTGATTACGACAGTTTGTCTAAAAAGGTATCTTTTAGAAATCGGAGTTATTCTTGGATATTGTTAAACAAAAAAGTATTAGTGATTACTACAATACTACAGTAACAAGAATTAGTACTTACTCTGAATTCAACGCTGACAGAATCCTTGTAATTGTCGAGCATTTGCGCAAGCATTTTTTGATCAATATTTGGCAAATTCATCGACGCTTCACTCAAAAATTCAGCCTAAAAATCAAAAAGAATTCATAAATGTTGTGAAGTTTCATTTTCCTTCAATACTAACCTTACTCAGCTCATAGCGACCTTGCTGAAGTACTTGAGATTTCTGCAAAATCCCATCCACATCTTCGAGTTTCTTTACGATTGAGATTTGCTAAAATTGTTTTGAATTGGATATAGGAGAAGTTCACAAGTGCAGTAGATTCCTTTCAGTCATTTATTTCAGTCATCCCTTTCAGTCTTGTAATTTCCCCTCACCTCTTTGAGCAATCTTGCATACTCTTCACCAAGTTGAGCAAACATTTCCCGTACTTTCACTTGTAACACCATGATCGCATTATCATTTTGCAGATCGGTGAAACGAAGCTAAATATTTATTAAGCTAACTTTCTTTTTGTTTTCATCTAAAATCATATTCAGCTTACCGTAATCATCTCTTTAAGCAATTCTCTCTTGGAATCGATCAGCCCGAGCTCGTTTTGGAAATCGCTCACGGCTGAAAGGACTTAAAGAGTAAAAACTTTGTTTGATTTAAAAGTCTTATATATTTTAGCCTCATTTACCATTTTCAAAGTTATCCATCGCCATTGGCAAAGCGTTTGCGTGGCGCTCATTGACGTAGTTGATCTTTTTTTCTCTATTGCCGAGAAGGGTCTCCAAGAAGTCTGGCTAAATAAGAATTTGAAAATAGGTGAGTTAAAGGGTAAGAGCCTACAGTGCCTGGCCTACAGTACCTACCACACTTACAGCCTGCATCAAACCTACCTACCCATCAACCCTATTCAATCATTCACAAACCTTCATCTCTTTCTCATAAATCTCATAGGATCCATTAACAGCATCGGCCATTTGCACATCTCTGTAGCGTTGCCGGTTATTTTCCTCTTTCTCGTCGCATCGGTCCTAAAAGTATCAAATTTAGAGTACATTTAAAGTTCAAAGTATCATATTTACAATACTTTTTGAATAATAAGTTTTGCTTCAAAAACAAACCAGCAGTGACCGTTGGAAATTCTCGAATTCCTTTGCTTTTAGCTCGGTTGAGCCGAAAAGCGGATGGGTTTGATACTCCTGAATGAGATTTTAGATAAGTAATGTAAATCTTCAATATAATAATCTTTTTTCTCTCTAAGACTTAAAATATATTATCTAGAATCAGTTTTGAATCTAGATTTTAACCTTAAAAGTCTCTTGAACGATATGCTGAATCGCCTCGTTGTACTCGCTCGGTTTGATCGGGCGATGGTTGTGTAAACGAACGAGCTAAATATAGAAAAGTAATCTGAGTTGTTAATTTGTAAATAGGTGAATTTTAATTTATCATAGATAAACTTGAACTTGACCCACTTGTTCGTAGAGTTTTGCGAAGGTTTCATTCGAGGCGGATCTCGCTTTCTCGAAGTAGAGCTGAGAGGTGGCCTAGAATAGGAAATTTATCGATTTTCTGCTCACTTTAGCTAAAAAATCTTGTACTGTAACTGTGGCATTGTGTAATTTATGCTTACAAGTACAAAGATTCTATACAAATAGTTAACAAGATCTCAGTTTCAGTCTAAAGCGATTAGAAGCGATCTAATGATCTAACGATCTGAAGTGATCTATCGCTCTAACGATTTAACGATCTAACGATCCACTAGATCTATTATTAGATCTATTAGATCTTACAATCTGAAGCTCTAAGATCTAAGAAAGATCTAACGATCGTAATCGAGATTTTGCAAACCATAGCTGTAGCCAAGTGGTTAGTGCGCTTAGCCTTGAGCTTTTTGAAAGCCTAGCGAGCGAGTGGTTCGAACCCGGACTTGGCCAAAAGCGATTTCCAAAACTTTTATTATTCTTGTAACTTTGTTTTGGATATTTATATTAAGCAAATCTATTACCTACATTTTTTTTCAGATTTATTCAAGTTCTTGTGACAATCATTGAGATCGGCCGGAGCACGTAATCGCGCGGCTTCTTTTTTACTTTTCTGTCTAGCATAAATTAGTGTTTACATGAATATGACTATGCTGTTTGCAAGATTTTTGACTTTAACAAGAATTTCTTTACAAAAACCAAAAGCCTTCGCCTGGTCCGGGCTTGATCCAAGCTCAGAAGACACAGAGCCTAGCGGGCTAACCACTTGGCCACGATGACAGATCTTTCAGGGACACAAAATCGCTTGTTACTCGAGCGGTCAAATAATTCGCAACACTCAAAAGCTGGCTTTTTTGACACAAACAAACTTCAAACGGATTTAAATGGAAAATTTGAATCCATTACACAAAAACGGCAGAGATATTCGGAATCAGCGAAAAATTTGCCACAAAATAGGCTTCAAAACTCGGTGGTAAATAAACAACGTTCCCTAGTTAGGCTTTGATACCAAAGCAAAAAACCCACTGCGAAAGCCGACCCAATCGCTTTGTGATGGTTGTCTCTGATGTGCTCGACGAGGTTCTGAAGAATGAAAATGCCTTACTCTAAGATAACTTTATTACTTCGTGAGGATAATGAAACTATTCTATTAGCTTGATCTATAAGACTAGTTTCTCTGCTAAACAATCACTCAATGCAAACCTCAACATATTGCTTCAGCGTACTCCCAGTCAACGGCGTTCCCATCACCTTTTTTGCTACGAGATTGTTGAGAACGTGATTAGCGGCTCCACAAAGACCCATCAAGAAATCGGATCCGCAATCTGAAAAGACTCAGTTGGATTTGATTCAACTGGAACTGGCTTCTAAAAGTGATTCAACTCGTTAAAGACTCGACAAAGCTGACCGCCCGCTCGAATCTCTCCACTCGCTCGAAGAACGTGCTCGGATGGACGGGGTACCATGTAACACTCGACGCTCTCAAATGCGTCAAACACTCCATCCATCAGACGAAGAAGTTCGGGAGCTCGACGAGTGCCAGACTAGAAAACAATCATTTTTTGATGCACTTATGGAAACACATGATTTCTGGTGCATTGAGTTCCTGTTAGTAAGACTTTCTAGAGCCCACTTACCCTCAAATAACTGATGTATTCTGGCTGAAGACCAGTCTCGAGCGCGTCTCTCATCATCAGAATGAAATGCTAAAAATGAAATTTAGAGTTAATGGATAATTAGCTCTAAATTTCAATATTTTAGGATTACCTGTCCAACTTTCTCATCGGTTTTTTGACTGAATGAGATGAAAACGTTAAGCGCGTCCAAATCCTGCGCGTCGATCTGGCTTTTTGTGTTGAAGATCTGGATAAAAAGTAATTTTTTGGTGCTTTAGAGATCACCTATTATCTATGCTATTTATCTGTGCTAGGAAAACCTATTATCTATGCAAACGTACCTTGATCGATGACATCAACAACGAGATCGCAAAAATGACGGCTGAGTCGGCGATGTCGCTGCATGTGTCAAATGTGCCTTGAGTGTCGATCAAAATGACGGCAATCTAAATGAAGATTTAGATTTGAATGAGTTTAAATTATAAGATTAGATTAGATTCTACCAGATCTATTAGATTCAAATGAATAAATCTACTAGCCAAGGTTCTGACTGGATTCAGAGTTCGGTTCAAGCCTCCTGCGGGCTCAGAAACTGGCCTAGCTACAGTAAAGCCAAGTCTCACTTGGTCTGGCTGCAGCTCTGACCAGAATCTGGTTTTTAAAAAAAAAAAACGTTTTAAACAGTTTAACTTAGTCTTACATCTTTCCCCTCTTTATCCTTCCTATCAAAGACTTTCGGCCAAACCATGATCCCTCTCGTGTGCCGTTCGTAGCCTGATTGGAAACGGATACCGCCGTGACCACTAAAACAAAATTTTATGTAAATTTGCATGTCTCGTTACTGATCAAAAAGATTTTTGATTGTAAAAGTTTATCTCGACAGCCTCAAGCACTGTATCTGTTACCAAAACTACACTTGCTTACCGTAGTCTATTGTAACTGAAGCTTACTGTAGCAATAGTATACTGTAGCCGAAGGATACTGTAACTAAAGGATACTGTAGCTGAAGGATACTGTAACTAAAGGATACTGTAGCTGAAGGATACTGTAACTAAAGGATACTGTAACAGAGCTCTAGCTAAGCATGTAGCTAGTTCTAAGTTGAGCTTAAAATAAGCTTAAGTTTAAGCTTAGCTAGCTGAAGTTTTCACCCAATGTGCTCATCGTCTTTATAGCCGGCTTGATCCTTTCGCAGTCCGTCGAGAAGCACATTTGACCAGAAAGTCTTTCCTTGACGAAATTTGCCAGCTGTGGAGATGATAGCCACCTGGATTTATATAGTTAAATATTTTCCATCCATATGACCGTCATAGCCGACTAGCTAGGAGCTCTGTATCTTCGTCGAAAGGTCAAGAGTTCAATCCCGCCGGCTAGATTACTCACCGGTCGCTTTCCAATTTGTGCACAAAGTGAATCGAGGTTTTCTCTGTGGAAGACCGTCTCTCCCTCTTCGGTGATGTCAAAAAGGGGAACTAGTCCTTGCGAAAAGATAGCCTATGAACGATAGCTGGGAAAGAATTGGTTTCGTTTGGACTTTGTGCTCATTTCGATCTAAACACTGTCTCAGCAAGAAACAAGAAGCAAAATAGCACTACGAGAAATGTTTCACAAAGTCCACACGATTTGAATAAGTTCTACTTACCTCAGTCTCATTCAATTGTTTGGATTCTGGATGCAAATCACTTTCTTCAAGATTGATAATCTCAATATCAGTTGAGCTTTCCGAGTGATCCGGTGAAGATGCACTGTGAGATGAATGAGTTTCGACCAATTCAACACTTGATCCAAAAACTTGACTCTCTCCAACCGAGACTTGAGTCTGAGTCAAGACTGGTGCTTTCTAAAGTATAAAGTAAAGTCTATTTTACATCTTAATCTTTTTAGCTCTGAAACCTGACTTTTTGAAGTGATTTAAAAACTAATAGCCTTGTACAAAGTGGACAAACAGATAAGAAACTTGCTAAAAGTGAAAGAATACAATTACATTCATAAAATAACCATATAATACTTTATTTAGTAAATGTAATAACATTATTACAGTATTGTATTTGTTATAAAGATGAGACCTGGTTCTCTAAAAGCCCGCGAATCCTCTCCATGGCTCGATCTGGATCGGAGAGTCGACCGATCTCAGAAAAGAGAGACTAAAGGTTGAAAATGATCTGGGTTTTTGCCAGTTTACTGTATGTTTAATGACAATTATCTAATCAATTTTTTGCTTCATTTCTCAAACTGATTCATGTAATGATCAGATGATTCGACCAAAACATTTCCTGTTTCGACAACGCTATTTTTCTTGCGGCAAGAGAATTGGTGATGAGCTGTTTTGGCTGGGGAAAAAGGAACAAAGAGCTAAAACTGATACAGTAATAAAAGAGAAGTAAACTTTGGAATTCAATGAACTTACAGTATCTGAAAGTTTCAATCAACTTAGCTGAGAATTGTAAGTTTACTGCTAATTGATTCTGGTTGAATAAATTCAAATGAAAGATTAGAATTGTGAAAGAATCTACTAGCTTTTCATAATCACGGAGTTCCAATCAGGTTCAGCTTCAGGCTAGCATTTGACAGAGCTCACAAAAATCAAAAAAGCAGGAGAACTTGCGAGGCTAGGACTCGATCCCGAGCAATCCCGAGTACTTTGTCAGGGACTTTTGTGGGTCAGATCAGAACAATTCAGCCAAGATTGAGCCTGGATTGAGCCTATCAATCTAGTGTGAATTGATCTGTACCTGATCTGTACCAAAAACAGCCCAAATCCTATTCCCGATCTTGATTTCAACCCACCTCTCGTGCCGCTTCTCGGCAATTCTCACGCATCTCGTCAGTGGCATCAGCGTAGTTTTCAAGGAACTGAAAAGTGGGAAATTTTGATGAAAATGTGATTTCTAAGCTATTTAGTTGGAAAACTTGTTTCAGAGACTGGATTTTTGGCATTGAGCACTTCTAACCAGGGATGTCCGGATCCGGATCTCTACACAAACATGCAAAAAACGAATCGACGACTACGCGACACTCCAATAGACAGTTCATAGTACTGTCGCGTCGTCATCTTTTTGTTCTTCGTATGCTTGCTTAGAGATCCGGATCCGGACATCCGATCGGATCCTTCTAACCTTTAGCTTCTCTTGGAACATTTGGTAGAGCTCGTCAACTTCTCGATCTTGAAGCTTAGCATCCTAAAAGAAATCTTAACTTTCTGACCGAGGAAAAGCTAAGAAAGGAAAAGCTACAATATTTACCGTAAAATTCGACTCGTAGTCATTTTCGGCGCTGGTGAAACGATTATGGGACATTCTCTTCAATTCTAGATACGTTTACAAGTTTTTCAAAGCACAAAGTATACAAAAATAGCTATTATCCTGTTTTAAAATGAAATAAAATCAAATGTAAAACTATTTTTCTTTAAATAAGAGAATTTTTTCACTCAAACGATACCAAAAATTGATCGGTTTTGAGAAAGAAAAGAGAGAATTTTGGATTTTTATTATGCAATAAAAGTCGAAGACAAATGATTAACAAAACTTTAAATTTATACAAATTTTACAAATCTTTTTACTAAATTCTGATTCAATTAGGAATTTTCTAAAAAAATAGAGCGATTTCAAACTTTAAATGCTATTTCAAAGTCGTTATCAAAAGAATTTTATCGAAAATTTTGTGTTGCAAGAAAATGAGTCGGTTTGGAAAGAAAGACGATTGCGAAAATCGAAAATGTCTTTTTGAAGTTCAATTTTTTTTTATTTTTATTACAAACAGTATTAAAAATATTAATTTAGATTCTAAAAGAAATTAAAAAGGAAATTTTGAAAGCTAAAATAAAATAAAGAGCATTTGTTTTCAAATTTTCATTTGAACATTTTTGTTGAGCAAGAAAATTGAATTTTTCTTCTCTTTTTGTAAAAATTCTCTTGCCAACTCAAAAAAGATATTGATTTATGAAATTTTTGAAAAAGAACATATCTATTTTAAATTTTTATAGACTTTTTATGTTTTTGAATGCATAATTGATTGAATTGCGTCTTTCTTTGAGCTTTTGTGCAAATCCGGATGTTTTTTTGTGTTTTCTATTTTGTTTCCTTTGTATTTTCTTTTCTATTAGCTAATTCGCTTTCTAAAAAGCATCTATTTTAGATAAAATATCGTAATTATAAAGTCAGTTTCCATTCAATTAGCCAAGATTTTTGTGGAAAGCCAAGATGGAAAAGGGAATGGTCTGGCTCAAAGCTCGGAATCGACTGGAAATACAGTTCCTGACATAGAAACGTAAATGGCGAACAAAATGCCACAAAAATTAGCCGCTAATAGCCACGGAAACGCGAGGAAACTAGCATGCAAAATCGCAATTCAAAACTGATTCCATTATAAGGCTTCACTTGCTGCCGACCAGAGATGAGCTTATGACCTAGTGGATAAAGGCTTAGCTCTGTGAAACGGCGGTCCCATTTTTGTCCTAGGCCATGAGCTCATCTCTGGTCGGCAGCGAGTGAAGCCTTATAAAGGAACCAGTTTTGAATCCCGATTTTGCATACTAGTTTCCTCGCGTTTCCGTGGCTATTAGCGGCTTATTTTTGCCGCATTTTGTTCGCCATTGCCGATTCTATTTTATGAACTGTGTTTCCAGTCGATTTAAGCCCACACCATTCCCTTGTGAGCCTTGATTCTTCATCGAATCTGACCAAAATTGAGCTGATTGAGTGTAAAGTGGCGGTTTGATTACGGTATTTTGTAAAAAAGACGTTCTTTAGAAAACGAATCAACTGATAGACAAGTACAGATCTTTGTTTTATGTTTTTTGTCAAATTTCAGATGTCCTATGAGGTACTCAATCGTTTACAAGACCTTAACGGGTATCAACCACTAAACTGCGTCAGTTCATTAAAAAAAACATTTATTGATACGAATAATGTGATAAAAACAATACACAAGCACAACCCTTAAGCCCTAATTGTAGAAAAATCAATACAGATGGGAAAAAGAACTAATAATCTAGCCGACGGGATTGAACTCTTGCTCTCCCGACTACGATACAGGGCTAGCCAGTCGGCCATAGCAGCAATCTGTCTAGATAATAAATCTAGTTAATAAGTTGAAGATCTAGATAATACAGCTAGAACGTATCTTAATATTCAGAACCAAGAAAACGTGCTTCTCCCTTTGGTGACTTTTGAGGAAGACGAGATTCACTTTGATGAGCAGATTGCAAGAGAAACTTTCGCGAATCAAGTTTATCATGGAAAAAAGGTTGGAAGTTGAACTTTTTCTAATTATAATTAAGAATAAGAGAAATTTTTACACCAAAAGTACAACAACACCAAGAATTTCTTTCTTCTCACGATTTTAAAAGATCTACTAACGATGAAAAGCTTACAGATTAGTCTCGTGACTGTAATGGGTCCGTCAAGGATGGGCAAGAGTTTCTTGATGTCATTTTTGACTGGTGGAATGAAAGGAAACAAAATTAGGTTTGTTTTGAACGAATATTTCACCTCTCATTCCTTCAGTGGTGCTTTTCAAAGCGGCTACGAGCGGTACACAGAGGGAATTCTGATCTTCGTCAATCCGATGATCTCGAAAGATGTGAGTTGCCTTGATTACAATTTGTTTGACCTGAATTGGTCCAACCCTGTCTTGGCTTACCCTTGGCTTGATCTAGTTCGGTTTCGTCCAATCAAAGCTAGATCAAGCCCTAGTTTTGATCTGGAGTGGCTACAATTGTTACTCAAACTCAGTCCTGTACTGGCCCAGTACTTGACCCAGTCAGAGCAGAGTCTGATTTCCAGGCCTATTCTAGACCTTTAGTCTATTCCCAGACTTTCAGGCTATCCTAGGCTTTCAGACTATCCTTAGGCTTCTGGGCCATCCAAGGCTTCTAGGCTATCCCTAAGCTGACCTAGTTCTAGTGATCAAGTTGAAGCATCTCTGGTACAGTCCGCACAATCCAGTTCTTCGTTTTTAACTTACATTAAGCATAAGATCCTGGCGGGAATGGGAGAATTGTCGGTATAGCTCATTGGTAGAGCGTTCGCCCGAAAAGCTACAGGTCGCGGGCTCGGATCCGACGATTGTTTGCATTTCCAACCCAGATTTTGTTCTGTTGTGTATTCCCAACCGAGTGTGTCCAACCTAACCAAGTGCATAGTGCAAGCATCTATTCTGAAATTCTGAAATTCTAAAATATTTGGGTTTTGAACTTTGTCCGAGCGCTCTTTCACAACTCTTTTCCAAAAGGCAGTTGTTTTTGTGTTGAAGTGCTGAGGGAAACTTTCCCCGGCTTCAATTTTACAGCTCTGATAAGACAGATTTGTGCACAAGAAATACTCAATAAAGCGCTTGGCAGGAAAGCTTTATGCAAACAAAACAAAAATGAATTTGAAATAAAGAAACATTTTCAGGGAACACACGTGATTTTCTTTCTGGACACTCAGGGGACATTCGATTTGAAAACGGCGAGGAATATCTCGGCGTGGATCGCTGGGTTTAGTCTACTCATCTCTGATGTTCAGGTTTTGTGAACATCGGAACAGTCTACTCATCTCCGATTGGAAAACTGTGAAAGTCACTATTGTAGACGTTGAGATCCAGCAATTATAGACCTTGAGAGAAGCCTTAAACTAACAAATTGTTATGTAAATTTCATTCTCGACAATGAAAATTCCTGAAATTTCAGCTTTATCTATTTTGTGATTTTGATTATTCAAGGAGCTTTTTTTTCACTTTTCAGATTGTTAATCTTCGAGGAAATATCGGCGGTGATGATCTTCATGATTTGAATATGTTTGTTGAATCAGCTGCGGCTTTTAAGGAAGGCTCAGTGGCAAAGGTAGGATGGACGATGGTATTTTGAGCGTACAGTCTAGTCGATTGTTAACTGTTTCGCTGATAACTTGGTGTAAACTCAAAGACAAACTATACGATTATAGTCGTTCAATAGCCCTGAATCTTCTCTTGAAAACTAGTACAAAGTTGCCGAGAACTTTCTACTTTAAGCAAAAGTGCTTAAAAGGAGTTGACACCAAAAGTAATCGTCATTAGTTATAAAGAATCATGAAAAATAATCATCATCATTATCGCTGTGAATGTGTGAACCAAATTTAGTGGGTAAGAATGTACGCGTTTACAATAAAACTTACAAGACCGTTAGTATTTAATAGTATTATAAACATCACAGCTACCGTAACCCATTTCCAAAAGCGTCACTTTGATGACACCATCCCGGTTTCATTACCGAACTCTAGCATGTCAGAACGACAGCCAGGATCGATGACAGCCACTATTAAACACAAATAACAGCCAGCACTCCAAGATTTGAAACTTTTAGCGAAAACTTGTACATTTTTAAAGGCTTATCGGACGTTTAATACCCGCCCCTCCTTTTCCCATCAGTAATCTAACTTTGAGATCAAATATCTTGGTGTTAGACTTTTCAATCTGTAAATGATTGGTATCATTGGATGCGCCAAGTATTTCTCTGTCGATTGGCACAAAAACTATTTATATTGAACAGCGAAACACCAAGAAATTTGAGCTCAAAGTTAGATTCCTGATGGGAAAAGGAGGGGCGCGTATTAAATGTTTCACAATCTATTTAGAGTCTAATTTTCGTGATTCGCGATGCGGCTGATTGGAAAGAGAGCGATTTTCTTGAGAAATTATGGGTATTGGGATCTCATTTTCAAATTTTAAAACGATAAAATTCCAGAAACAAAATGAGAAGTCGAAAGAAATGAAAGAAATCGCTGGGTCGTTGAAACATCGCTTTATAAATGGAATCGATTGCGTTTGCGTGGCGCCAGTTTCGGATCGGATTCGACGAGCTGATCGAACGATTGAGTTACAAGAAGAGGGTATTGTAGTAAAAAGCATTCTTTAGAAAATAGAACTAAGACTAGAAAATAGAACTAGCAGAGCAAAGTTTTTAGATCAAACACTGATCCAATGCCTTAAACGAGTTCAACAATTGATCTTTGAAAAGTGTCAGCTTGAGAGCAAAGCTCAACTACAAGCTCCTATCGAACTAGCCAAAGTTTGGTTAAGAAGAAATTTTGTAAAGCAAAGTTTAGAAAATCACGGCTTATCTCCAAGACGATGCACCGGAGCTGAGACCAACTGTTCAGGTTTTTCAGGCCAAGATTTGTACGTAATTGCAAGGTTTAGGTGATTCAAGAAGCCACCGTAATCCAAGCAGTAAACAAAGCATTTGATGTCTTTGCGAAAGCAATCAAGGTATTCTTAGCCAAAGAAAAATGGTTCTTGCTTTCCTTTCTGCTTTGAAAAAATGCTTTCCGGGTATTTTGAATGAATCGTCACACTTTAAAGGTCAATAATTTTATCCAGACCTGGAACTGGAGCTTGAGGACTTGAACTTAAACCTGGTCCTAAACCTGGAACTGGAGCTGGATCTGGTTTGAATCCAGAACAGGAACTGGAGCTGGAGCTGGACTTGAGCCTAGATCTAGTTCTAAGCCAGAAACAATATTATTCCTAACTTCTAATATCATTATATAGAAGATATTTCAGACTTTCAAATGATACCAAATACAGTTTATTTGGATAATCCAGTACAGAGAAATCAAAGTCCGAGGCCAATCTAACTCGAGTGCCTTGCCGCCTGGTTTTCATGGAAATGAAAAATCCAATCGAAATTTTTTTGGTATCATTCGAAAGCCTGAAATCTCCTTTATAAAACTATATATAAAGTTAGTTGAATAATATCATTTCTGGATAAAATTATAGGCCTTCAAGTGAGACGACTCAAACAACGAAATTTTCAACATACCAGGAAACTTTCAAAATAAAGCTTTACTTTCAAAACAAAGCCAAAGACTTTACTTTATAAAAATATTTCAGACTTCGACTCCGGAAACTTTGCCGATAGCTGAAGCTTTAGGGAAAGCTGAAGTTCATCGAAAATTGGAAACCCTGTTGCTGAAAAAGGAAAATCTCATTGCTGAAGCTCACGCTTTGTTGGATCCAAAGATTGAGGTAAGAGAAGGAAGTATTTCAGACCAAACATTGCTTTGTTCATTCTGTGACTTAACTGGGTAATTGAATGACTTGAAATGGCTTAGTTTACCCAAGTTTACCTGCTAAATTCAGTTTCCGTCATTTATACGATTTTTCGAATCTTTACCCAACTAGAGAAAAGGGGAATTTACATTTATTTTTTTAACGATGTAAAAGTATTTTGATAGTACCAAGAGATAAAAAAAAAAACAGTTTTTTTACAATAGGAAATGATTCTGGAGAAGAAAAACGAGTTTGCTCAACTGAAAAAGGAGAAAGACGAGTTGAAAGCGGCTGAGAAGTCTGCCCAAGAATTTAGAACGAAAATTCACAAGGTAGGTCTAAAAATTGATACTAAAATACTTATCCTAAGATAAAAATAATTTTCAATCAACATTTACAAACCTTTCAAACAGATTTCAACTCTAAAAGAGGCTTTGCACTGGGAAAGGGATGCAATTCTTGAGAAATACGGTAGCATTACAATTCCATCAACGACCATTAATTCAATGAAGGTAATTGTTCAATTTTAATCAAGAACTTTTTATCATTTGCTTTAGGATACGCTGAAAACAAAAATTATCACTCTTAAATCGCAATTCATTCAAACTCGACTCAATGAGCTGGACAATGAGCTCCGGGTTTACTTCCTCACGGTTTGTCAGCCTGTTTAGCTCTAAACTTTTCAATTCTTTACATATTTCAGACCAACTTTGGCAATGTTCCAGAAGAAGATCAGATCAAAGTTTACATTAAAAAAATGATTGAATCTTTCAAAAAGGAGTGCTTTGAAAATACTATCGAAAGTGCAGAGTTTTGCATAATCGAGGGAAAGATTCAAATCACTTTAGAGGTTTGAAATGGTATCAAATTACTGTAATCTTGTCTTGTTTTAATTCCTAAACATTCTTGATTAAGGTTATGTGAGGATTAGCCTCAGATATCGAAAGATTTGATAAAAACTAACAAGATTACGGTAGTTATTGCAAGTAAAGCGAGCTTGTGGAATGTTTATTCATCTAGCTAAACTGTTTCCTAAAATTTCTCCTTTATTTTATCTTTTTAGAAAACGGGTTTGATTTGCCGGAGCATGCTTGCCTCAAAGAAAATCGCAGAGATGAAAAAAGCTGAGCTTGAAGCTGAATTGGCTGCCGAGGTCCAGGTTTGAGACTAATTCTAGTGAAACTTGGCTCACTTTAGAAACACGATTCCGCAAATTATTCCGATATTTCTTCTGATTCGGAAAATGATCTAGAGGAAGAGTATGAAACTTGTAAAACGCAATCAAATGGTTCTCTAAATGTGCTGGATCTGATCAAAGAGGAAAAGGAAAAAGAAAGTGCTGAAACTTCTTTAGAACTAATGGAAAATCATCGACCACCGCCTTGTTCCAAACCTATTTCAAAAACCTCGCAAGAAGTTGAATTGAACAATCAAAAGAATACAGTGGATGTTTCGGGAATGGAAAAGATAAGACCAAGACTCGAAGCTAACCAAAAGGAAACAGCCTATGCTAATGAGGATCGAGTAGATGCACGAAGGTTTGTTAAAGCCAGAGCTTTAACGGAACTTCTACATCTTTGTCTCGCCAACGAATTAATATGCAAATTGATCTTTGACTTCTTACTCTATCATTGAATTTTAGCAGATTTTTCCTAGATTTTAGATGGTTTTTGAATAAATTCGAGCTAGAATGAATGAAGATAACCCTAATAAAGCCATTTATACTGTTTTCCGAGTACTAGAGAGACAACTAGAAAAAAAATTGGGGAAATTTACATTTATCTTGACGGGAAAGCGACGCAATAGTCCCGCTTTAGAAGATCATAGTGAAAACAAAACAAAAAGCAAAGTAAGTGGCCAAAATATTCTCTTCATTTAGTGCTTCATTGCCAATCAACTTGCCACGCCCTGACTCACCAGAATACGGTTTAATTTACAGCTAATATTGTCACAAACATACTTCAGATGAAATCTCCGACACAGAGATCGACCAATTTGTCTCGAAACCGCTAGATGATGACGCTGTCCGCGAGATGAACTTCAAGTTCGGCGTTTTGAAAGCAATTCTAGAGGTTGAGCCAATTTTGTGCAAAGAAAAGTCACGTTTCAGCAAATCGATGACGAAAAAGAAAAGCAGAGACATTTCAAAGAGATCTACCAGGAGTATGCGGCGTGGTGTGAGGCTCGAATCGACTCGATAGTCATGATGTACTTTGTGCGCAAATTTCACACCGAGTGCGCCCTGTACATGCGGGAACACCATGGAATTCAGGTCAATGTTCGGCAATGCGAGGTTTGTTTTCATTGAGAACTCAATGATTGGATGTTTTTGAAAAAAATCAAAATGTTGAACTTTTCCTCAAGTGAATATTGTCTATTATATCTTTGACTGTTTTTGGATTCGTTGTGAATCCATTTCCGAAAATTGGGTCATTTCAACCGGGCCAGGCCAGGTCTGGCTTTTAACGGGCTTACAGACAGGCCTGTCAGGAGATTTATGAGCTGGGTCTGCAGCAAGGCGAGATCCAGTAGCCAGTCCAAGACCTGGACCCGGGTTCACCATCACCAACTTGTGAGGACTTAGGACTTGCAACTTGCAACTTGCGAATTTGCGAATTTGCGACTTGCGAGTTGTGACTTGGGATTTGCGACTTGCGACTTGCATGATTTTTCGAAAACATATGACAATCATATGTCTTCGGGATTCTTGAGTATATAGGGTAAATGAGTATGCTGATCACGAATTTTAGGTCCGTTTTTAAAAAATATTACTTTTTAACGTCATTTTCAGTGTTTTTATGTATCTCAAGTCCCCTTATTGGGTGACTTGCAAAAGTCGAAAGATCTTGCAAAGTTTCGGAAGTTGAATCTGGCGAGATTTTGTTAACGAAACCGACTTGCGACTTGCGAACACGCAAGTTTAGTTTATGAACCAGACTTGTGTCCAAAATCTTGCGATCTTGCGGATGGTGAACCCGGACCCTGGCTTACAGTTGTTAGCTCATGAACCAATTTTTTTTATGACCAGGCCGGAGACAGACCAGAATCAAAGCCAGGACCTGGATTTTCTGCAGGCTCGCAATTTTGAAAAAACAAGGCTTAAAAAAGTCTAATCTAAAATCTGGATACAGTCATGTAATTTATCAAACGGAGCTGCTATATCAACTTTAGAATGAGATCATTCGTCGTACGGAGGACCCGAGATGGACGGGCGCGCAAAGGCTCAAGCGAAAGGTGTTGCACAGACGTCAAACGAAGGTGAATTGATCAGATTGGTTAAATAGAGAAAGCTGAATTTAGCCCACTAAGAAGAAAATTTGTGCGCAAAGGGTCGGAGATGTGTTCAACGAGTTGTTGGCTGAGGTTGGTGCGAGATTTGTCAACTTTATTGTCACTTACATCATGGATTTTCCACAAGTCAATAAGCCAGTCGAAAATGCTAGTGAAGAACATACTTTCCTGAAGTTATTTCAAAACTTTTCAACTTTTAGGAGTTTCGAAATGTGCTCGCGTGTGGCCCATTGAGCATTTCAAAAATCTCGGCACTCATCGAATACTCGAAAAGTAAACGCGACTTTTTCTCGAAGACTCTTTGCAAGTATGACAAATATGGGGAATTGCCTGGACTGCTCGAGAAAGTGCTCGTCAACAACTGGATCTGTTTCTTTTACGATATTGTGAGTCGCTAATTACCGGTACAACCAATCAATAAACCCATACCAGTCTGTATTCTAGCCCGAATTATTTCAAAGACATTTTCCGTTGTCACTTTTTCATGCTTACATGAATTAAGTCTTGATATAAAAGCGATTTTTCCGGGCCTGGCCTGGCTTGGTTTTGAGGACTCGTTGAGGCCGACATTGGCATAGCTTAAACCTGGCCTGGCCTAGTTTACAGCCCTAATGATAGCTTTTATATTCAAAAAGATGACAAGGACCTTGACCAAGAACCCCAATTTTCAGCCACACAAAGGCTTTGGCGAGAGGGACACGGTAAACGAGTACGAGCGAGTACGCAGAGATCTTCCGTTAAATGTTCCGCATGGGACCCACCTCACTTTACTTTGCGATATAAAAGAGTGGTTCATCGAAATGAAAAATGTTTTTTGTTTTGTAAAATAGTTTCCAAGAATTAAATTCAGAAGCGAGAACGGGAAGAACGGGAGCGAAGAGAAAATGAGGAGAAACAACGACAAGCCGAGATATTGAAGAGGCTGGAAGTTGGGAACCCATCGAGGAAAAGATTCTCTTTCCCGAATTTTCCAACCATCTGCAATTCAGGCAGGAAATTGCTTAATAACTAACATTGTTATTGGGTTGATGGGTATGAAATGTCGCTAAAAATAAACAACTGATTTATTCAGTCTTTTACATGCAATCATTATCAATATTTTCCATTATTTTGGATACTTTGAGATCATTTTACTGGCAAAGACCAGATGCCTTTTTTGTAGGAAATATTTTGGTTTTAATGCAAATTAATCCGTAAGCCACTTTTTGAAACATCATATTCAAAATCAAACGTTGATTGATCAAATCCTTGCTCATCACTCGGAATCAGTAGTTATCAGAAGGTGCAAGATTAGGGCTGTATGCAGGATTGGTCATCATCCCCATTGAGTTTAGTTTAAAGCGAGTCATCTTCGAAACGTGCGGTCTAGCATTATCATGTTGAGTTTTCTTTTTTGAGATCTTTTCTCTAGCAAAGATTTGACTGACTTGTCTAGTTGCTTTGACTATTTGATTGAGTTGAGTGTGATCTTGCTATTCAGTTCCCAGGAGATGGAGTTTTGAAATTCTAGAACACCGAGAGCATAAACTTTTTCCAATCCACATTTGGCATAACGTTCAGTTCGGGCTTTTCCCCCTTTTCCCATTGACGCTTTCACTAAAAGTTGAGAGTTAGAATTAATTTTCATCCTTTTTCACAAAGTAAAGAATAAAAACGATTTGCGCCCCCATCAAGAAAGATAAGCGGCGCTGATTGAAACGCGTTTTAATTTCTGGATATCTGGTACGTCTGTTAAGTCTTTTAAGTCAGTCTGTTGTTTGTGTAAAGTCATGTCGCATCCAAGTCTCTAATTTTGACCCAAGGTTATCCAAATTTTCGACGATGAACAACGAATAGCTTTTTTGCTACTAGGAAGGAAGTCTGTTGGTTTGAAAAATTTCTAGCAACTTGGTATTATCCAGCTGAATTGCTGGATGACTCCTCAGTTTGTCTTCGTTTATCCCCAGAACAAAATTTAACAAACCAGTTTGCACATGGAGCTTCTCCTTTCACATAAACATTTTTAATATTTGCTGAACACTAGAGGCCATTATGTTCTGAAATAATACAATTGTTAAAGTTCCAGACTTTAGCCAGTAAAAAATCTAAAAACAGTTCTAAAATTTAGCCAATAAACCAATATTTGATAAGAAAATCCCTGTAAATCATCATTTTATAGTTACCTCACTTGGAACGACCTCACAGTATCAAGAGCGTCCACAAGCCATACACCGTCACCAACCAGGGTCAGGATCGAATCAAAGAATTGACTCTGGCCAAGAAATGGAGAGATTGGGAAATCGAGCCGGGCAAATGCAGGATTTTCACCATTAAGCAATCTTTAATAAATTTTTGAGTTTACTGTTTTGGATGAGATTTCGATTCGATTTCATCGATTTGATGTTATTTTTCATGTATTTATTTTAGTTTTATTTCTGTTTTTAGCTGAAAATATTTCAAGATGAGCGATCTGGACAAGAATTTATCGGTAAATGACTATTTAAACAAAATTTGAATTCATTTTAGGTTTTGCCTACGATTGAAGATTTGGCTTTGATGATTGATGATGAGAAATTGAGACAGGAAACATTGTTGATGATTGAAGAAGTGATTTCGAGAAAGGATTGGAAAGATTTGAAAGATGGCTTTAGGAAATCATTGATGACCAGCCAAAGAAAGCTATGGAAATTGAGCAAGATGCGGAAAGAGACGAGTTGTGGAATAAAATTCCAACTCTTGGAGAAGTTTCAACGAGTAGAGACGCATCTCTTGGTCCTTCAACTGTGGTTATGAGGTAAAGCCTTGGAAATATAGTGAGATATCATCGGCTATAACTGATTAGGCTTGTTCTATCTGGACTCTGAAACCAGTCTGATTCAAAGACTAGGCCAGCTTAGGCATTGCATAGTTAAAACAAAACTTCAAAGCAGGTCAAAAAAGCAAAATATTGTTGTAATTTAGTGCCTCATTGCCAATCAACTTGCCACGCCCTGACTCACCAGAATACGGTTTAATTTACAGCTAATATTGTCACAAACATACTTCAGATGAAATCTCCGACACAGAGATCGACCAATATGTCTCGAAACCCCTAGAAGAAGACGCTGTCCGCGAGATGAACTTCAAGTTCGGCGTTTTGAAAGCAATTCTAGAGGTTGAGCCAATTTTGTGCAAAGAAAAGTCACGTTTCAGCAAATCGATGACGAAAAAGAAAAGCAGAGACATTTCAAAGAGATCTACCAGGAGTATGCGGCGTGGTGTGAGGCTCGAATCGACTCGATAGTCATGATGTACTTTGTGCGCAAATTTCACACCGAGTGCGCCCTGTACATGCGGGAACACCATGGAATTCAGGTCAATGTTCGGCAATGCGAGGTTTGTTTTCATTGAGAACTCAATGATTGGATGTTTTTGAAAAAAATCAAAATGTTGAACTTTTCCTCAAGTGAATATTGTCTATTATATCTTTGACTGTTTTTGGATTCGTTGTGAATCTATTTCCGAAAATTGGGTTATTTTAACTTTAGAATGAGCTCATTCGTCGTACGGAGAACCCGAAATGGACGGACGCGCAAAAGCTCAAGCGAAAAGTGTTGCACAGATGGAAATCAAATGTGAGTTGATCAGATTTTGACCATATAGTGAAAGCCGAATTTAGTCGACAAAGAAGAAAATCTGTGCGGAAAAGGTCGGAGACGTGTTCGACGAGTTGTTGGCTGGGGTTAGTGCGAGACTTGCTAGCTTTGTAACATTTAGAGTAGTGGTCAAAAGCTTGGACTCACCCATTCGCGACAGCTTAAAAGGCTGTCATCTCGCCGCTAGTTAATGTTATTCAACTAACTAAAAACTTATTCTGTGTTTTTTTTTAAAAATTTTAATTCATCCTAGTCTATACGTTCATTGTCTTTTCACTTTTTTTATTAGGGTGTCCCGAATGAAAATACCCTCAACTTCGATTGCAAGTTTTTCGGTGTAGCGAACAGCTTCGCGTCTGATTTTTGTTTTGTTTTAAAGTTATATACAGTACCGAGCAAAAGTCTTGCAACATCACTTTTTCAAAAAATCGATGAAATTTTTTTATAGAAAATGCCACCCGTTCGTAAAGCTTTTTTGTTTTTAATTAGAATAATATATGTACACTTTATTTACAAAAACAAATTTGAAGTTCAGCGTAAAACAAAAAAGTAAATGACAAAACTACTAAAAAATACCCTAAAAACTGGGTGCAAAAGTCTTGCAACATTTTACAGAAACATCAAAAATTAATATTCAATCGGTCCACCTTTTGCCAAAATCACTTCACTAAGTCGTTTAGGCATTGAGTCGACTAATTCGTGAAGAATTGCTGGGCGAATTGAGCTCCAAACTATCGTATGTAGAACCATAAGTCAACTTTTGTGTGAAAGTCTTTTCCTCGTAACTTTGCCTTCACGTAAGCCCATAAATTCTCAATAACGTTTAAATCAGGCGACATAGGGGGCACTTTGACTAACAAAACATTATTAAGGGCAAACCATCCAGGGAGATGAGCTTTTCCTCCATTTGAGAGATTCACGGTGCGACCCATCATGAGCTTGCTCTTGTGGACCGGCGAGTTGTCCTGGTAGACAAACCATTCAGGAGCCATGTGATCCTGAGCAAATAGAAGTAGACATCCTTCTAGTATTTCCATATACTGGCGAGCATTCATGGTTGACTGGACGAGGACGAGCGGACCTGCCACATTTTTTGTCATCGCCCCTAGAAAAAGAAAAATTAATGCATGTATTAGAAATAAGGCTTACCAAAACACATGATTGATCCTCCGCCAGCTCGCATTGTAGGTCGCACATATTTAAGGAGTATTCGCTTTCCAATGGGTCGTCTGATCAAGTGGTTGCCTTTTGGAGAAAAGATATCCACTTTTGTTTCATCGACAAAAATCACGTTGGCCCAATCCTGCTTTGTCCAACTTTGGTACGTCCTGGCGAATAGAAGCCGTTGTTTCCTATGGCCAGCGGTCATCAAAGGCTTTCGTACAGCCCGCCGGCTATACAGTCCTGCTTGAGTCAATCGTCGAGAAACGGTCCATCGAGAGATATCCTTGTTTGCAACATCCTTGATCAGCCGAGCTCCCTCAGTTGATGTCATGTTCGGATCCTTCTTGGAAGCCATCACAAGTATTCGATCCTCTTTTGCTGTTGTTCTTCTTGGCCGTCCTTTCTTCTTTCTTCGGTGCATAAGTCCAGTTGTTTTTGCTTTTGAAACAATGCGAGAAACGGTCGAAGGATCGCATTTGAAGAGATCGCAGACAACGGCTCGAGAAATTCCTTTTTTTCTTGCTTTCATGATTTTTTCTCTTTCGGGAGTCGTCAAGTAGGTACCTGGCATCTGAAAAAAACAAAAATTAGTGTAAATTAATAAATTTGAAAACAATAAAAATGAGAAACATAAAATGTTGCAAGACTTTTGCACCCAGTTTTTAGGGTATTTTTTAGTAGTCTTGTCATTTACTTTTTGCTTTACACTGAACTTTAAATTTGTTTTTGTAAATAAAGTGTACATATATTATTCTAATTAAAAACAAAAAAGCCCTACGAACGGGTGGCATTTTCTATAAAAAAATTTCATCGATTTTTTTGAAAAAGTGATGTTGCAAGACTTTTGCTCGGTACTGTATCTTTTCTAACTCTATGTTTTTATAAAAATTTACTGCCTTACCATTTTGACTTTTTTCGAATGGAAGATCAGAAGTACCGAATTCGGGTGTGGTTGCTCTACGACTTTAAACAAGGAAAAAGTGTCCGGGAGAGCCATAGTTCAATCTTGAAATTTTTTGGAGAAGCTGCTTATTTTGAGGAAGCTTGTAAAAAATGGTTTCAACGATTTAGAGGGGGAGACGAAACCCTACAGGATCGAGGACGTGGTCACTCCCTCCACGATGACGATCTTCGAGAAGCCATAGAAGATGACCCAACCTTGTCGACTCGGGGACTTGCAAAAATGTTTGCTGTAGGCCACACAACAATTGCGGACCATTTACACCGTTTGGGTAAAGCGAATCTCGTCGGAGAATGGGTATCCCATCAACTTAGTGATGGCTAATAAAGCTACTCGAGCGACTATGGTCGGTATTCTTCTTCGTCAATCAAAAAATCGAGGTTTTTGGGACACTATTGTGACGGCCGATGAAAAATGGATTTACTACGATAACCCATCGCGAAAACAGAAATGGTTAAGTCCAGGAGAACAGTCAAAAATCGACGCCACAACGTGATCCGGATGGAAGAAAGGCCATGTTATCTGTTTGGTGGAATTCCCGTCGTCTGATACACTTTGAGGTTCTACATTCTCGTCCAACAGTTACCTCAGATGTATATGTGCAACAACTGGAACTTTTAGACCAGGCTCTCAAGAATCAAGGTGTAAACGCATCGACTGTGAGATATCTGCAAGATTACGCGCACTCACACACAGCAAAGATGACGCAAGAAAAACTCGAGGAATTGAATTTGGGAATGTCTCCCGCAGCCACCGTATAGTCCAGATCTGGCACCCTCAGACTACAGATTATTTCGATCTATGCAGCACTTCCTGACCGATAAACACTTCAAGGATCACGACGAAGTCCGAATTTGGATAAGCCAATACTTTGACTCGCAGCTTCAGGATTTCTTCAGCAAAGAGATCCGAGATTTGAAAGAAAAATGGAGAAAGACTATTGCCAACAACGGAGAATATCTTTTGGATTACAGCGCCTTTTTTTCTTTTTGTGGAGATAGATTTGTTTTTCATTAAAAGGATATTTTCATTCCGGACAACCTAATATTATTCAACTAACTAAAAACTTATTCTGTGTCATTTTTTGCGTTTTCAACTCATCTTAGTTTATACGTTCAATGTCTTTTCACTTTTTTATATGTATTTCTTGAAATAACCTTCTTTTGGAGATGATCAAAAGTTTGCCCACGCTTTATGTTTACACTTTTGCTTACAGCTCTATGTTTATGTTTATGATTACAGATGTATCGCCTTTCTGATGAAAAAGAAAAACCTTTCTGATGATGTCAAGGGGCTTTTTATGGAATGAATGGTGGAATGAGCTGTCGGAAAGCTGCTGACATCTGTCGTCTTACTTACTCAGCTGCAGCCAAGCAAATGGAAAGATTAGGACCCGATCAAGCGTCAATCCATTTGAGGACCGCCAAAAAACGTCAAATAGACTTCGACCTTCCTCAGAAGCATCAAGAAAGCTCCTTGCAAATCTGCTTCAAATCATTGCAAAGCCGCCACTTCCTACTATGATCTTGCAATCCCCCAGAACACAACTTCAGAATTGGATTGGACAAGGACATCAGGATCAGTCGACCGATGATTGGGCACGTGTTTTGTGGAGCGATGAAAGCAAGTTTAACATGTGGAAAGTCGAGCCATTTTAAACTCAGATCTACTTTGACATGCTCGCAACAATTTGGCGGATGATTGGATTTTCATGCCAGACAACGACCCAAAACACACTTCTTGGATCATTCAGAAATGGCTAGAAGAAAAAGGAATCAAGATATTGAAGCGGGCAGCTCAAAGCCCAGACTTGAATCCATTTAAACATCTTTGGAGGTATTGGATTGCCGAATTCGCTTCAAAGCATGCACAAAAATATCAGAGCTGATGAAGGGAGTCCACGACGAACAATACGTTACAGATTTCATTCAATGTTTTCTAACAGCACGTTGGAGGGTTTAATCGAATTGATGCCGCGTGAATGTCAACAATTAACATTAACTGCGGTGAGATGACAGCCTTTTAAGTTCGCGCCGATGGATGTGTTCAAGCTTTTGACCACTACTATACATCATGAATTTGCCACAAGTCAATAGTCGAAAATGCTAGAACTTACTTCCCTGAAGTTATTTCAAAAATTTTCAACTTTTAGGAGTTTAACAATGTGCTCGAGTGTGGCTCATTCAGCATTGCGAAAATCTCGGCACTCATCGAATGCTCGAAAAGTAAACGCGACTTTTTCTCGAGGACTCTTTGCAAGTATGACAAATATGGGGAATTGCCTGGACTGCTCGAGAAAGTGCTCGTCAACAACTGGATCTGTTTCTTTTACGATATGGTGAGTCGCTAATTACCGGTACAACCAATCAATAAACCCATACCAGTCTGGATTCTGGGCAAAATTATTATTTCAAAGACATGTTCCGTTGTCACCTTTACATGCTTACATGAATCAAGTATTGATCTACAGGGTGACCAGAAATAACGTTGCGGCCTAATTTAGCCGGAGAAGAGCAGGCTTTTCTGTTTTTCAATGGCCCTCTAAAATTCTTTTCTGCTACCTAGCTACACCAAATTTACAAAAGCTCAAAAATGGGTGTGTGTTTTTTGGATTTTCATTCAGTTTTCGACGTCATTAAGCTTCTTTTAGTCTAGAACTATTACAGGGTGACCAGAAATAACGTTGCGGTCTAATTTAGCCTATTTTTTAAAAATCCAAAAAGATTTTCTAACAGAAACAATTTTCTATTAACAACATGATATAAAGAGAGCATAAAATCTACATTTCTTCAAAGCGGCCACCTTTGGCCAGATGTAGAGCCTCAGACGCTTGATGAAGTTTTCGGCGATGGGAGTGATTCGATCCCATTCCCTGGTCAACGATCGCTTAAGGGCCTCCAAACTTTTGTGGGGTTTTGCACAAGCCCTCGCCTCCAAAATTGACCAAACACTGTAGTCCAACGGATTGAGATCGCACGAATACGGAGGCCATTCCTGAGCCGAGATGAAATCCGAAAAGTTTGTCCTACACCAGTCCTGTGTGGATTTGGCTCGTTGAGAAGGAGTGGCGTCTTGTTGGCAGGTCCAAAATCCGTTACCAAAATGCTGTAGAGCCCATGGAAGCAAAACATCCTCAAGAATCTTTTTTTGGTACCCATCCTTATTGATTTTTACCCCAGAATCGACGAAAATGAGAGGAGTTTTGCCGGTTGCGCAAATTCCGGCTCATACCATGACCGATTTGGGATTTTGTCGGTGTTGAACAATCGCAGAGCTGCCTGGAGAGGACGTTGACTAAATCCGGTCGTTTGGGTGGTTGTAGCTTTGCTCCGCCGAGAAGAGCTTCTCGTCAGAAAACAGGATTCGCTCGCAGTGTGGAGTTGCGGCCCGCTCGAGAAGCTCTCGACATCTTCGAGTCGCCGAGTTGTTGCCCTTGCTTGAGCTTGTAAGGGTGAAGATTGAGCTCATTTTTGGCCATAAGTCGAACCGATTCGCGAGCGATTCCCGTCTGTCGAGTGATCTTTCTCATTGAGACCTCTGGATTCCGGCCCACGCGCTTCTGAATCACTTTGCGATTTATGGAGGTATTGACTGTTCTTTCTCTGCCTCTTCCTGGACGATCTCCATCGTTGCCAAGCACCTTGTATCGCTTAATCGCTTTTGAGACGAGCTGATGAGAAACACGTAGCAATCGCGCGATCGCACTCACGCATTGACCTTGACGATAAAGCTCCAGAATGGCAGATCCCTTGTTTGTCATCCTATAAAAAACGAATAGACTTGAAACAAAGTAAACAACAAAGAAACCAATAAAAACAATCACAGAGAATAGGTTAAAAATAAATTTGTCTCCCAAAATTGAAACTTTGAGGAATTTAGGCTGCCGAAAATCCCGCAACCTTATTTCTGGTCACCCTTTAAAAGCGATTTTTCCGGGCCTGGCCTGGCTTGACTTTGCTACGTTCTGAGGAGTTGTTCAGGCCGACATTGGCATAGCTTAAGCCTGGCCTGGCCTAGTTTACAGCCCTAATGACAGATTTTATATTCAAAAAGATGACAAGGATCTTGACAAAGAACTCCACTTTTCAGCCAAAAAATGGCTTCGGCGAGTCGGACACGCTGAACGAGTACGAACGAGTGCGCAGAGATCTTCCGTTAATTGTTCCGGATAGGACCCACATCACTTTACTGAGCCATATAAAAGAGTTGTTCATCATCAGGAAAAATGTTTTTTGTTTTGTAAAATAGTTTCCAAGAATTTAATTCAGGAGCGAAGAGAAAATGAGGAGAAGAAACGACAAGCCGAGACATTGAGGAGGCTGGAAGATCCGAACAAATCGAGGAAAATATTCCCTTTTCCGAAGCTTCTAAGCATCTGCAAATCAGGCAGGAAATTGCTTGATAACTAACATTGTTATGCGGTTTATGGACATGAAATGTCGCTAAAAATAACTGATTTATTCAGTCTTTTACATGCAAGCATTATCAATATTTTCCATTATTTTGGATAGTTTGAGCTCATTTTACTGGCAAAGACGAAATGCCTTTTTTGTAGAAAATCTTTCGGTTTTAATGCGACTTCGTCCGTAAGCCACTTTTTGGCACATTATATTCGAAATTAAACGTTTATTGATCAAATCATTGCTCATCACTCGGAATCAATAGTCATCAGAAGGTGCAAGATTAGGGCTGTATGCAGGATGGGTCATCACCGGCATTGAGTTTAGTTTAAAACGAGTCATCTTCGAAACAGGCGGTCTAGCATTATCATGATCTTTTCTCTAGCAAAGATTTGACTGGCTTGTCTAGTTGCTGCTAGTATTTGATTGAGTTGATTGTTATCTTGCTATTCAGTTCGCAGAAGATGTTTTTCCTAGATTCCCAGTCGTTTTCAAATTCCAGAACACCGAGAGCATGAACTTTTTCTTATCCACCTTTGGCATAACGTGGAGTTCGGAGTTTCCCGCTGCGCAACCCATTGACACTTTCACTAAAAGTTGAGAGTTAGAATTCATTTTCATCCTTTATCACAAAGTAAAAAGTAAAAACGATTTGCCCTCGCATCGAGAAAGATAGGCGGCGCTGATTGAAACGCGTTGTCATTTCTGGATGTCTGGTACGTCTGTTAAGTCTTTTGAGTCTGTCTGTTGTCTCTGTTAAGTCATATCGACTCCAAGTCTCTAGTTTTGACTCAAGTTTATGCAAATTCTCGACGATGGTCAACGAATAACTCTTTTGCTATTAGGAAAGAAACCTGTTGGTTTGAAAAATTTCTAGCAGCTTGGCATGATCCAGCTGGAATGCTGATTTCCAAAAGATTTCCAAAAGCCTAAAGTTGACAAAATTTCGAAATAACAAAAAGTGAGGAAACCCGGTTTCATTGTTTTTAGAAAAGTGTTCTTGACTTTATTTGTTTACGAGTTTCAAGAATCGGAAAAATAGTGACATTTCATACCAATCAAACCATTATCTAAACACCAAATAAGCTTGCCCTTAGCTTTCTGTTTGGAAACAATTCTTAAAGTGTAAACTTTAGCCAGTAAAAAATCTAAAAACAGTTCTAAAATCTAGCCAATAAACCAATCTTTGATAAGAAAATCCCTTTAAATCATCATTTTATAGCTGGCTCATATGGAACGACCTCACAGCATCAAGAGCATCCACAAGCGATAACCTGTCACCAATCAGGGTCACCATCGAATCAAAGAACTGACTCTGGCCAAGGAATGGAGAAACTCGGAAATCGAGCCGAGCAAATGCAGCCTTTTCACCATTAAGCGATCTTTAATAAATTTTTTCAACTCTAAAAGAGGCTTTGCACTGGGAAAGGAATTCAATTCTTGAGAAATACGGTAGCTTTACAATGCCCTCAACGACCATTCATTCAATAAAGGTAACTGTCCAATTTTACTAAAGAATTTGTTATCATTTGCTTCAGGAAGCGCTGAGCACTAAAATTATCACTCTTAAATCGCAATTCATTGAAACTCGACTCAATGAGCTGAACAATGAGCTCCGAGCTTACTTGCTCATGGTTTGTCAGCTTATTTAGCCCTAAACTTTTCAATTCTTTAAATATTTCAGACCAGCTTTGACAATGTTCCAGAAGAAGATCAGATCAAAGTCCACATTAAAAAAATGCTTGAATCTTTCAAAAAGGAGTGCTTTGAAAATGCTATCGAAAGTGCAGAGTTTTGCATAATCGAGGGAAAGGTTCAAACCACTTTGGAGGTTTGAAATGGTATCAAATGTTGAAATGTTACTGTAATCCTGTGTTCTTTTAATCCCTGAACATTCTTGATTTTGTAAGGATTAGTGTCAGATATCAAAAGATATTGAAAGGTTGGATAAAAGCTAACAAGATTACGGTAGTTATCGAAAGTAAAGCGAGCTTGTGGAATGTTTATTCATCTAACTAAACTGTTTCCTAAAATTTCTCCTTTATTTTATCTTTTTAGAAAACGGGTTTGATTTGCCGGAGCATGCTTGCCTCAAAGAAAATCGCAGAGATGAAAAAAGCTGAGCTTGAAGCTGAATTGGCTGCCGAGGTCCAGGTTTGAGACTAATTCTAGTGAAACTTGGCTCACTTTAGAAACACGATTCCGCAAATTATTCCGATATTTCTTCTGATTCGGAAAATGATCTAGAGGAAGAGTATGAAACATGTAAAACGCAATCAAATGGTTCTCTAAATGTGCTGGATAGGTTTCAAAGCAGGTCAAAAAAGCCAAAATATTATTGTCATTCAGTGCTTCATTGCCAATCAACTTCCCACGGCCTGACTCACCAGAATACGGTTTAATTTACAGCTAATATTGTGATAAACATACTTCAGAGGAAATCTCCGACACAGAGATCGACCGATATGTCTCGAAACCCTTAGAAGAGGACGCATTCCGCGAGAAGGACATCAAGTTCCGCGTTTAGAAAGCAATTCTAGAGGTTGAGCCAATTTTGTGCAAAGAAAAGTCGCGTTTCAGCAAATCGATGACAAAAAAGAAAAGCAGAGACATTTCGAAGAGATCTACCAAGAGTATGCGGCGTGGTGTGAGGCTCGAATCGACTCGATAGTCATGATGTACTTTGTGCGCAAATTTCACACCGAGTGCGCCCTGTACATGCGGGAACACCATGGAATTCACGTCGATATTCAGCGATACGAGATTTGTGCTTATCGAGCACTCAATGATTGGATGTTTTTGAAAAAACTCAAAAATGTTGACCTTTTGCTCAAATGAATATTGTTTATCATATCTTTAGCTATTTTTGAATTCGTTGTGAATCCATTTCCGGAAATTGGGTTATTTTAACTTTAGAATGAGCTCATTCTTCGTACGGAGAACCCAAATTGGACGGACGCGCAAAAGCTCAAGCGCAAAGTGTTGCACAAACGAAAATCGAAGGTTGATCAGATTGGTTAAATAGAGAAAGCCGAATTTAGCCGACAAAGAAGAGGATTTGTGCGCAACGCGTCGGAGATGTGTTCAACGAGTTGTTGGCTGGGGTTGGTGCGAGATTTGTTGGCTTTAGTGTCACTTACATCATGGATTTTCCACAAGTCAATAAGCCAGTCAAAAACTTACTTAAGAACATACTTTCCTGAAGTTAGTTCGAAACTTTTGAACTTTTAGGAGTTTCACAATGTGCTCGAGTGTGACTCAATGAGCATTGCGAAAATCTCGGCACTCATCGAATACTCGAAAAGTCAACGCGACTTTTTCTCGAGGACTCTTTGCAAGTATGACAAATATGGGGAATTGCCTAAGCTGCTTGACAAAGGGCTCGTCGACAAATGGATTTCTTTCTTTTACTGTATGGTGAGTCGATAATTCCCGGTACAACTAATCAGCATTATTTCAAAGACATATTCCGCTGTCACTTTTTCATGCTTACATGAATAAAATATTGATATAAAAGCGATTTTTCCGGCCCTGGCCTGGTTTGACTGGCTACGTTCTGAGGACTAGTTGCGCCTGACATTGGCCTAGCTTAAATCTGGCCTGGCCTAGTTTACAGCCCTAATGACAGATTTTATAGTCAAAAAGATGACAAGGATCTTGACAAAGAAATCCACTTTTCAGCCATTCAAAGGTTTTGGCGAGTGGAGCACGCTGAACGAGTACGAACGAGTACGCAGAGACCTTCCGTTAAACGTTCCGCCCGGCACCCACATCACTTTACTTTGCGATATAAAAGAGTGGTTCATCGAAATGAAAAATGTTTTTTGTTTTGTAAAATAATTTCCAAGAATTAAATTCAGAAGCGAGAACGGGAAGAATGGGAGCGAAGAGAAAATGAGGAGAAACAACGACAAGCCGAGATATTGAGGAGGCTGGAAGATGGGAACAACTCGAGGAAAATATTCTCTTTCCCGAAGCTTCCAAATCTCATCTGCAATTCAGGCAGGAAGTTGGTTAATAACTAACATTGTTATTGGGTTGATGGGTATGAAGTGTCGCTAAAAATAAACAACTGATTGATTCAGTCTTTTACATGCAATCATTATCAATATTGTTCCATTATTTTGGATCTTTTGAGCTCATTTTACTGGCAAAGACCAGATGCCTTTTTTGTAGAAAATCTTTTGGTTTTAATGCGACTTAATCCGTAAGCCACTTTTGGCACATCATATTCGAAATCAAACGTTTGTTGGTCAAATCATTGCTCATCAGTCGGAATCAGTAGTTATCAGAAGGTGCAAGATTAGGGCTGTAGGGTGGGTTTGCTTCAGGGTGGGTCATCACCCCCATTGAGTTTAGTTTAAAACGAGCCATCTTCGAAACATGCGGTCTAGCATTATCATGTTGATTTTTCTTTGAGAGCTTTTCTCTGGCAAAGATTTGGCTGACTTGTCTAGTATTTGATTGAGTTGAGTGTTATCTTGCTATCCCAGTAGATGGGGTTTTTCAAATTCTAGAACACCGAGAGCATAAACTTTTTCTTATCCACATTTGTCATAACGTTGAGTTCGGGCTTTTCCCCCCTGCTTAACCCATTGACGCTTTCACTGAAAGTTGAGAGTTAGAACTCATTTTCAACCTTTGTCACAAAGTAAAGAATAAAAACGATTTGCGCTCGCATCGAGAATGATAAGCGGCGCTGATTGAAACGCGTTTTCATTTCTGGGTGTCTGTTACGTCTGTTAAGTCTTTTAAGTCAGTGTGTTGTTTCTGTTAAGTCATGTCGAACCCAAGTCTCTAATTTTGACCCAAGTTTATGCAAATTTTCGACGTTGTTTAACTACTGGTTAGTATGAAAAATTTCGGTCGGTTCTCATCCCCATCACCTTTCCCTTTATCGTTCTTTTGCGAACCGTAGGGTTTGGAATAAGCTCCCGTTTGGTATCTTGTCGTCTGTAGGAAGATTTAAAGTACCGTATTTTCTGTAATAGTAGTGCAGTCTGTAATAGTAGTGTTGTCTATAATAGTGGTGCAGGCTAGAGTGGGGTTGAAAAACTAGTAGTGCGCACTACTATTACATAAATACTGTATCTGTAAACGAGTTAGATCTTATTCCCATGTCAAATCTATCAATTTAAATCTTTTTGTACCCGTGTTTCCTAACGTTAGTCTTATTGTACTATTTTTAGTCTTTTTTTGTGAAAGTCTTGTAGCAATATGTTAAAGCGGTTATGATTATCTATTTTCCATCTGAATAAAGCATATATATATATATATATATATATATGTCGTAGCCGTTTACGAAATTCAGCAGTTAACGAATGATTCGTTAACGGTTAGTCGACAACGAACGAAATTTTTTTCACTAGCCGCGTACAATTTGTAATCGGCTTCTGCGAACATGGCTCGATTCAAATGAGTTTTTGATTTCAAACTATTAGGTTGGTGCAGATGAAACTTCCGTTGGAACCATAAACAAAATTTATTATAAAAATCCTAATACAGAATCTCAATCCAAAAGATACTCACCATCATTATCAATCACTCTTTACCATCTTCCACGCAGAGAATGGATGCCCTTTTCGAAAAACTCGGGCAACCGCGTCTCGAAGAAGTTGGACACCCAGATTTCAACTTCTCCGCGGTTTTTGAATTTTTTTTCCTGCTAAAGAGTGCTGCATGGGCCGAAACAAGTGGTAGTCGGATGGGGCCAAGTCCGGGCTATATGGCGAATGAGGCAGAACTTCCCAGCCCAATTCCTCGATTTTCTGCTGAGTGATCTTCGCGGTGTGGGGTCGAGCGTTGTCGTGGAGGAATTTTGTAGTCGCCGTGTTTATGCCTTGACGACGTAATGCCTGGTCCACGCGGCTCAATTGGGCTTTGTAGAGATCCGCCGTGACTCTTTGGCCCAAATCTAGCACCTTAAAATACACGAGATCTTTACTGTTCCACCAAATACAAGCACCAAATACGTTTTTTTTCGTGGATATTTGGTTTTGGAGTCGGTTTTGGCGGTTCACCGGCGCCCAACCACTGCCGTTTTCTCGTTGTGTTGTCGTAACATATCCACTTTTCATCTGACGTAACAATGGAGTCGAGAAAACCGGCGGTCTTTGCGCGGCGGACGGTCCAGCCATTGTAACTCGAGCTTGTTTGCGTCGCTGAGCTGATGTGGCACCCATTTTCCACACCGATTCGTCTTACCAGTTGAGTGCAAATGGCGGAGAATGGTTGTATGGTCGCAGTCAAACGGCTCTGCAAGCTCCCGAGTTGTTTGGCATGGATCCGATTCGATAGCGTTTTTCAACTGATCGTTGTCGATAATTTGAGGCGGATTCCCGCGTTTTTCGTCTTCCAAACTTTCATCACCGTCTCGGAAGCGCTCCGGAATCAAGTCCGGAAAAAACGCTTGACGTTCGGACAACACGTCATCGCCGAATGCTTTGCACAGAGCACGATGAGATTCCGCAGCCGTTCTGCCTTGTTTAAAATCATACAACAAGCAAACCCGCACACGAAATTTTTGGTTAACCATTTTCTAGAAGCTAAAAAATACTTCAAATTAATTAAAACGCATGAGTCCTAGATATCAAAAGGCGCGCAAAGAGACGCTCTTCCAGATAGACAAATATATTCAATAAAAACTTGTATTAGGTTCAAAATATAAACAAATAAGTGTGACGAAAGATTCACCTGCACCAACCCAATAATACAATTGTTAAGGTTCTAGACTTTAGCCAGTAAAAAATCTAAAAACAGTTCTAGAATTTATTCAATAAACCAATAGTTGATTAGAAAATCCCTCTAAATCGTCATTTTATAGCTAACCCATCTGGAATGACCTCACAGCATCAAGAGCATCCACAAGCGATAACCTATCACCAACCAGGGTCACGATCGAATCAAAGAACTGACTCTGGCCAAGAAATGGATCAATTCAGAGATCGAGTCGGGGGAATGCAAAGCGATTTTCACTCTTCGACGGTCTAAATAAATTTTTGATTTCATTATTTTGGATGTGAGAAAACGTTAGTCGATTCGATCCATTTCATTTTTCTTGTATTGCTTTCAAATGTTTCAATTCTGTTTTTAGCTGAAAATATTTCAAGATGAGCGATCAGGACAAGAATTTATCGGTAAATGACTATTTAAACAAAAATTGAATTCATTTTAGGTTTTACCTACCATTGAGGAATTGGCTTTGATGATTGATGATGAGGAATTGAGACAGGAAACATTGTTGCTGGTGAGGGGAAAAGCGGATTCAAATAAAGATTGCTTCAGGAAATCATTGATGGCCAGTCAAAGAAAGCGATGGAAATTGAGCAAAGTGCGAAAAGTGACGAGTTGTTGAATAAAGTTCCAACTCTTGGAGAAGTTTCAACGACTAGAGACGCATCTCTTGGTGCTTCAACTGTGGTTATGAGGTGAGGCCTCAGGAAATATAGTGAGACATCATCGACTATAACCGAACAGGGTTGTTCTATCTGGACTCTAGGGTCTGTAAAACCAATCTGATTGTAAGACCAGGCCTTTGGGATTGCATCGTTAGAACAAAACTTCAAAGCAGATCAAAAAAGCCAAAGTATTCTCGTCATTTAGTGCTTCATTGCCAATCAACTTTCCACCGCCTGACTCACCAGAATACGGTTTATTTTACAGCTAATATTGTCATAAACATACTTCAGATGAAATCTCCGACACAGAGATCGACCGATATGTCTCGAAAACGCTAGTTGGCGACGCTGTCCACGAGATGGACATCAAGTTCGGCGTTTTGAAAGCAATTCTAGAGGTTGAGCCAATTTTGCGCAAAGAAAAGTTGCGTTTCAGCAAATCGATGACAGAAACGAAAAGCAGAGACATTTCGAAGCGATCTACCAGGAGTATGCGGTGTGGTGTGAGATTCGAATCGACCCGATAGTCATGATGTACTTTGTGCACAAATTTCACACCGAGTGCGCCCTGTACATGCTGCAACACTATGGAATTCACGTCGATGTTCGGCGATACGAGGTTTGTGTTTATTAAGCACTCAATGCTAGGTTTTTTTGAAAAAATCAAAAATGTGAAACATTTGCTCAAATGAATATTGTTTATTATATTTTTAAATATTTTTGGATTCGTTGTGAATCCATTTCCGAAAATTGGTTTATTTTATCTTTAGAATGAGCTCATTCGTCGTACGGAGGACCCAAATTGGACGGACGCGCAAAAGCTCAAGCGCAAAGTACTGCAAAGACGGAAATCAAATGTGAGTTGATCAGATTTTGACCATATAGTGAAAGCCGAATTTAGTCGACAAAGAAGAAAATTTGCGCGAAAAGGGTCGGAGACGTCTTCAACGAATTGTTGGCTGGGGTTGGTGCGATATTTGCTAGCTTGGTAACATTTAGAGTAGTGGTCAAAAGTTTGGACACACCCATTGGCGCGAACTTCAAAGGCTGTCATCTCGCCGTAGTTAATGTTATTCAAAAAAAACAGTTAATGTTATAACTAAAAACTTATTCTGTGTCATTTTTTTGCCTAGTTTTTCAACTCATCGTAGGTTATACGTTCATTTCGCCTTTTTTATATGTATTTCTTTTCATTTGTGGAGCGACGAAAGCAAGTTTAACATGTGAAAAGTCGAGACATTTTAAACTCAAATCTACTTTGACACGCTCGCAACAATTTGGAGTTTGAATGGATTTTCATACAAGACACCGACCCAAAACAGACTTCTTGGATCGTTCAGAAATGGTTAGAAGAAAAAGGAATCAAGATATTGAAGTGGGCAGCTCAAAGCCCAGACTTGAATCCACTTAAACATCTTTGAAGGCATTGGATTGCCGAATTCGCTTAAAAGCATGCACAAAAATATCAGAGCTGATGGAGGGAGTCCACGACGAACAATACGGTACAGATTTCATTCCACTGTTTTCTAACAGCACGTTGGCGGGTTTAATCGAATTGATGCCGGTGAATGTCAGCCTGTAATCGCTGCTAAAGGCTTCCCAACTAAATATTAAGACTTATTATTTTTAAGGCAATAAATTTCGTTATTTCATATTTCATAAACGTGTTCAAACTCTTGACCATCTCAAAAACAAGGTTATTTGAAGAAATACATATAAAAAAAGTGAAAAGTGAAAAGTGAAAATGAACGTATAACCAAAAATGAGTTGAAAAGGCAAAAAAATGACACAGAATAAGTTTTTAATTAGTTGAATAACATTAACTAGCGGCGAGATGACAGCCTTTTAAGTTTGTGCGGATGGATGTGTTCAAGCTTTTGACTACTACTATACATCATGAATTTGCCACAAGTCAATAGTCGAAAATGCTAGAACATACTTTCCTGAAGTTATTTCAAAAATTTTGCACCTTTAGGAGTTTAACAATGTGCTCAAGTGTGGCTCATTCAGCATTGCGAAAATCTCGGCACTCATCGAATGCTCGAAAAGTAAACGCGACTTTTTCTCGAGGACTCTTTGCAAGTATGACAAATATGGGGAATTGCCTGGACTGCTCGAGAAAGTGCTCGTCAACAACTGGATTTCTTTCTTTTACTGCCTGGTAAGTCGATAACTACCGGTACAACTAATCAATAAAACCATACCAGTCTGTATTCTAGCCAGAATTATTTCAAAGACATTTTCCGTTGTCACTTTTTCATGCTTACATGAATAAAGTCTTGATATAAAAGCGATTTTTCCGGGCCTGGCCTGGTTTGACTTCGCTACGTTCTGAGGACTAGTTGCGGCTGACATTGGCCTAGCTTAAATCTGGCCTGGCCTAGTTTACAGCCCTAATGATAGATTTTATATTCAAAACCATGACAAGGAGCTTGACAAAGAAATCCACTTTTCAGCCACTCAATGGCTTCGGCGAGTCGGACACGCTGAACGAGTACGAACGAGTACACAGAGATCTTCCGTTAAATGTTCCGCCCAGCACCCACATCACTTTCCTGAGCGATATAAAAGAGTGGTTCATCCACATGAAAAATGTTTTTTGTTTTGTAAAATAGTTTCCAAGAATTCAATTCAGAGGCGAGAACGGGAAGAACGGGGGCGAAGAGGAAATGAGGAGAGACAACGAGAAGCCGAGATATTGAGGAAGCGGGAAGATGAGAACAACTCGAGGAAAAGATTCTCTTTGCTGGAGCCTGGAAGTATCTTCTACAGGCTTCTACAGGCTACAGGCAAGGGTTTGGAGGAAATGACTTAATAACTAACATTGTTGTTTTATATAAAAAAATCAAATAAGCCTGCCCTCAGCTTTTGTTTTGAAATGACACAATCGCTGAAAAAATCTGCAGACAGTTCTAAGCCAGTAATCCAATATTTGATAAGAAAATCTTTGTAAATCAACATTTTATAGCTAGCCTCTTTGGAATGACCCCCGCCGTATCGAGGGCATCCACAAGCGATTAACCGTCATCAACAAGGGTCACGATCGAATCAAAGAACTGACTCTGGCCAAGAAATGGAACTATTAAATGATCTTTAATAAATTTTTGAGTTCATTTTTTGTGGATGAAAGAAAACGATGGTCGATTCGATTTTTCTTGTATTTATTTCAAAGTTTCAATTCTGTTTTTAGTTAAAAATATTTCAAGATGAGCGATCAGGACAAGAATTTATCGGTAAATGACTATTTAAACAAAAATTTAATTCATTTTAGGTTTTGCCTACGATTGAAGAATTGGCTTTGATGATTGATGATGAGGAATTGAGACAGGAAACAATGTTGATGATTGAAGAAGTAATTTCGAGAGGCAATTGGAAAAATTTGGAAGAGGAGATAATGGTGCGGGGAAAAGTGGATTCAAATAAAGATTGCTTTAGGAAATCATTGATGCCCAGTCAAAGAAAGCGATGAAAATTGAGCCAAATGCGGAAAGTGACGAGTTGTTGAATAAAGTTCCCACTCTTGGACAAGTTTCAACGACTAGAGACGCATCTCTTGGTCCTTCAACTGTGGTTATGAGGTAAAGGCTTGAAAATATAGTGAGATATCATTGGCTATAACCGATTAGGGTTGTTCTATCCGGACTCTAGGCTCTGTAAAACCAATCTGATTGTAAGAACAGGCCAATTTTGGCATAGCATCGTTAGAACAAAACTTCAAAGCGGATCAAAAAAAGTTTTCTGTTTTCTGACGAGAAGCTCTTCTCGGCGGAGCAAAGCTACAACCACCCAAACGACCGGATTTAGTCAACGTCCTCTCCAGGCAGCTCTGCGATTGTTCAACACCGACAAAATCCCAAATCGGTCATGGTATGAGCCGGAATTTGCGCAACCGGCAAAACTCCTCTCATTTTCGTCGATTCTGGGGTAAAAATCAATAAGGATGGGTACCAAAAAAAGATTCTTGAGGCTGTTTTGCTTCCATGGGCTCTACAGCATTTTTTTAACGGATTTTGGACCTTCCAACAAGACGCCACTCCTTCTCAACGAGCCAAATCCACACAGGACTGGTGTAGGACAAACTTTTCGGATTTCATCTCGGCTCAGGAATGGCCTCCGTATTCGTGCGATCTCAATCCGTTGGACTACAGTGTTTGGTCAATTTTGGAGGCGAGGGCTTGTGCAAAACCCCACAAAAGTTTGGAGGCCCTTAAGCGATCGTTGACCAGGGAATGGGATCGAATCACTCCCATCGCCGAAAACTTCATCAAGCGTCTGAGGCTCTACATCTGGCCAAAGGTGGCCGCTTTGAAGAAATGTAGATTTTATGCTCTCTTTATATCATGTTGTTAATAGAAAATTGTTTCTGTTAGAAAATCTTTTTGGATTTTTAAAAAATAGGCTAAATTAGACCGCAACGTTATTTCTGGTCACCCTGTAATAGTTCTAGACTAAAAGAAGCTTAATGACGTCGAAAACTGAATGAAAATCCAAAAAACACACACCCATTTTTGAGCTTTTGTAAATTTGGTGTAGCTAGGTAGCAGAAAAGAATTTTAGAGGGCCATTGAAAAACAGAAAAGTCTGCTCTTCTATTAGAATGTTTACAGTAGGTTTAGGTCACCATCTAGAAGTACCACTACCACTACTTCACTGTCTATGAGAACTTTATCAGTTTCCGAGCGATCTCCCTCTCCAAAATATGGTAGCATTCAGCTTTGAATGGGAAAAAGGAAGTTTTAGATGAGATTTCCAACACAGAACTTGATGCGATTGTGGAAGATCTGAATAATGAAGCGCTAACTGAAATGAATCACAAAATTGGGGTGTTGAAAGTGATTTGTGAGGTGAGTCAAGTCTTGTTCTAGACCTTGTAACTAAAATTTCAGCAAGTGTCCGACAAAGACGAGAAACAAAAACATTGCATTGCCTTGTACGAAGAGTACATCACATGGTGTGAAGCTCGAATTGATGCCCAAATGGTGATCCACTTCGTAAACAGATTCCATGACGAGTGTTCTGCATATCTGCTGCTATACCATAAAATTGAAGTCAACATTAAACGATATGAGGTTTCATAAAGCTTTTATAGAGGTTTATTCGGGTTTTGGAAAGTTCTCAAATCTAAAACAGATTTAAATGAACTATTTGATGGTTGGGAAATTGAAATCAGTAACAAATTTAACTTCAGGATGAGCTTCTTTGTCGAAACGATAACTCGCAACGGACAGATGCACAAAACCTCAAGCAAAAAGTGTTACGAAGAAGGAAATCAAATGTGAGGTTCAAGAAAATTTCCCAAATTTCTTAATTCATATTAGGATTTGATCTAAAAAGTTAAGTTTAGCCATTAAAGAAGTGCCTCTGTTCGCAGAAAGGGGAGCGAGTGTTGACAGAGCTTTTGAAAGAGGTTTGTCAATCGATCTCTTGGTGTAAGACGGAAAAATTTAAGGATTTCGAAAAAGTGATTGGATCGAAGAGAATCACAGATGAAGAAATTGCAAAACTTATTGAATTGTCGAAGAGTCGATGGGAATTCTTCTTCTCAACTCTGCAAAAGTATGACAGATATTGTGAGCTTCGCGAATTGATGAATCGAATCTTCGTAAAACAATGGATTGACGTCATTTCTCTGCTGGTGGATTCAAAGTTTTTCGAAATCTCAACTTACATATTTAGCCAAATCAGGGCTTTGCTCAAGCGGACATTTTAAATCACTATCGAAACGCGTGTGATACGTTGGAGCTCTCCATTCCAAACGAAAAACATTCGACTTTGATCACAGTTTTGGAGGAGTATTACAAGCACAAGGTAAACTAGATTTTGCTGTACTCTGTGCTGTTTTGCTGGGTTGGTGAATTGAAAACTGCGGGACTTTGAACTAAAATTTATTCAACATAAAACCATCAATTCATTCCAAATAATTTCCATTATTATTGACGACTTCTGTCCATTTTAGAGGCAATTGGCGGATGCCTCTTTCGTGGTAGGATTTTGGTTTGTGTGTGAGACAAGTGTGAACCTCTAGACAGAGAAATCTATTAGTCTAAACGGTGTGAAGAGTATTTTTTTGTATTTTTTGTGAAGTTTATTACCCGTGCCTAGTTCTAGAAACTATTTCTACCCAGAAATGTATCTAGCAATTTTTTTTAAAGAATTTAAGAGAAAGAGCGAAGAACTAAAAAGAATCTAACGAATACGATTGCAGGAAGAGGAAAGAGTCCTAGAAGAATTGCTAAAGAGAGCTACAACGAGTCAAGAAGCCAGGAAAAGCCAAACTTCCGAGTTTTACTATTAAACAATGAATGTTTATTTACTTCGTTTTCGAAATTCCAATTACAGGGTGCGGTCAAAATATTCGGTGGGACATATTAGCACAAATCTCTTGGGCATAAATCCTCATCTGAAATCTCCTGGGGTCGTGCACGAGTGCACGAGGTGTTGTTGTGTTTAGTCAAAAGGTTCACTTGAAAACTGGCGAAGCACTTGGAAGACGATTGATCAAGTGATTGAAAAAAGACCGCATAAAATGGTCAATCAAGAATGGCAGCAACCAAAGGAGAGGAGTTATTCGGTGAAATATGGCAGTCCAACCGTTTAGCACAACGTTTTTCATTAATAGATTTTGACTCTGTGATCAAATTTTGTAATAAAGTGTACAGTTTCAGAGTTTCTATTGTTTCAGAAAAGCAAAGTTTATACACGCATTTATATCAGCAAAGTATTTCGATAAGAAAACTTGGGTACACCAGAGTCATAGATTTTTCTAATCATTGTTAATCCAGATTTTCACCTCCATCCGAATCCTCGCCTCATTCCTTTCTTTCTTTCAGTTCGTCACTTTTGTAGAATGTCGATGTCTAGAATGAGAAACTTCTTTGCTAATGAAAAAAAGCTTTAAAGCAAAGCCTTAAAGCAAAGACTTAAAGCATTTTAAAGACTCTACCCTCTCGGCTCCTCGTTCATTTCGATCCTCTTCGCGGTTTCTCTCTTCTCTCTCGTTGTCAGCTCTTCGTTGCTACAATTACATTCAATTTATTGATGCAAAATTGCATATAAATGCTTTTTCTAATCATTGTTAATCCAGATTCTCACCTCCATCCGAATCCTCGCCTCATTCCCTTCTTTATCGATTCGATTCGCCTCTTCTTGTGTTTCTCTCATTTCTTTTCGTTGCCGCTCTTCACGCGCGTTTTCAAGTTGTCTAAAAGCGTTTAATAAAAGCGTTTCATTTGTTTAAATCAAGTTTTACTTGAGTTTTCTGAAAATCGCCTACTGTTGCGTCTGTTCATTCATTTGTTTAAACAGGAAGAATATTGGATTCAAATCGTTGCTCTTCGCAGCTGCTTCTCGTTTGCGTTTTTCTTCCTCTGAAAGAAAACTTCTAATCAAATTTAACTGATGCTGCAGAAAAATGTTCAAAATTTTGTTTTTGATCAAATTCTCCCCAAATACCGTTGCATCACGCAAAATTCTTCTTTTTTTCGCAAAATTTCAAATTTTATGGAAATATCGATTTCTTTGTTAAAAATTATCATTTTGGAGCTTTTTTTTATTTGTGATCGCTATTGCACAAGAAAAATACCCTTTTTCCTTTTTTTTCTCAATTGATGACCTTGAACTGAGTTTAAATCCTATTTTTTGTTTTGAAAAAGTTTCAAATTATGCTTTTGATTTACTATTAATTAAACTATTTATCTAGTTATCTATTATTTAATAATTTTATTTGGTTTACTATCTATTTTTCTATTATCTAATAGATAAATTTGGGCTCTTGTGTAGTTTCCGGGTATTTTGAATGGGTCGTCTGACTTTCAACGCCTATAACTTTATCCAGAGATGATATTATGGCTAACTTTTTATATCATTGGAAAGAAGACATTTCAGGCTTTTAAATGATACTAAAGAGAGCTTGGCTAGATTTTTCCTTCCCATGCAAACAGGCGAAACGACACCGGAGTCGGATAGGCCTCATTTGCTCAGAGTTGGCTTTGATTTCTCTGGACTAGATTATCAAATCAAACTGTATTTGGTATCATTTGAAAGCCTGAAATGTTCTCTGTACAATGATATAAAAGGTTAGCAATAATATCATCTCTGGATAAAGTTATAGGCGTTCAAAGTCAGACGACCCATTCAAAATACCCAGAAACTACGGAAGAGCCTAAATTTGTACTTAGAATTTTTCATGGTACTTTTCAGTTACACTAAACTCTAAGCACACTCTTTCTAGGGCACCACAGTAAATTCAGCGCGCCAGGAAGGATGTATTTAGGGATATTTCGAGCACAAAATACAATACAGTTAAAGCCTTTACTTTCGGTTAAAATAGTTTGACTTTCACTGCTTCTGGTGTACTTTGTGCTCAACAGAATGTAAACGCACTCTTTCTAGTGCACTGAGCTCTTTAATTCACTTTGCATTAAGCTTTAAGATGCTAAACTCAAAAATAAGTCAAATTCCAGAATTCAATGTGAAAAATGGACACCAAAAGATCACAAAATGAACACAAAATAAATTCAATTCGTTTCCACTTTGATCAAGCAAGTTATTGGACGTTAAATCGAATAAATAATAAAATTAGAATAGAATTTAATCAATTCAATTCAATGAATAGAATAAAATGAATAGAATTCGATTTCTAGATGGAAGAAAACGAGCTGAAACCCTTGGTGACTTTCAAAAACAATCGGATTCAATTCAACGACAGTATTGCTCGAGAGACTTTCGCCAATGAGAAATTCAGTGATAAAAAGGTTTTCGAATTGACTTTTTCAGTGTTTTAAGAAGGTGAAAGATATCAGGATTAGCATTAGAGCAAAGACTGATAGCCTCTCTCGGAAACGAGACTCTTATCCACTACACCATCAGATTCCGAGACGGTGAAAGAAGCCTTATACAGGGAAAGAAGTCATTTTTGAGCTCTAAGGCAGGTCCAGGCCTAGCATCTAGCTTTGACTAGCCTGGCCTAACTTTGACTAGCCTGGCCTAACTGTAGACGCAAGGCTCCTCCGGCTCCTCCGGCTTTGACTATACAAAGTATAGAACCCAGGCTTGGACCAGCCAATAGTAATATTAGCTTCTTCTGGAAGACACAATTGGACCATTCCTAGTTGTAACTCCAAAATCATTGCTTCAGATCACTCTGGTCAGCGTAATGGGACCATCGCGATCCGGCAAAAGCTTTCTGATGTCAATTTTGACTGGTGGGCGACAAGGAAACACAGTCAGGTCAGCCTTTAGAGTGCACCGTAATCTTGGCTATAGTTTAGCCAGTTCATCTTCTTTTTTCATCTTTTCAAATCCTTTGTGTGAAACTGCAGGATTCGTCTAAAAGTAGAGAGATTAGTTTAAAGCTAGAGACAAGATTACGAGAATTAGCTGGATACAATCTACAAGAGTTATCTACAAGCTAAGAGGTTTTCTTGTGACTTCCACACTTTCCTCAGCAACTTTGCATTTAAACTTCCCCACTTTGCCCTGCATAATTTCCGTCCAAAAGAAGCTATTTCCATTTAATTTTATGACCTTATCACAAAGAATAAATGAGTCTAACTCGTAAGGATGTAGTGGTATGACAATAGTGATCAAAAATGAGTGGCGTAAGAGTCAAAAGTTCGCCATAGCATACTTATGACTCTTACAACACTCATTCTTAAATGCAAATTGATTTTCAATACAAAGTGAGCAGCGTAAGAGTCACACGAATACCAGTTAAGAGCCATTTTTGATTTATAGAGGACCCTTCAAGACCGGGTATGAGCCGTGCACGAAGGGATTCTCGTTTTCACTCAACCGATGATTTCTGAAGATGTAAGTGAGACTTAGATTTAGAGTAAGGTCGATAAATCAAACTTTGAATTGTGGATTGCGCTTTTGCAAAACTTTTGAACTTTCGACTTTCTGAAAAAAAAAAGAACTTTCGACTCTGTAAACTTTCAAATAAAACGCAAGCGTTCTTTGTTTACCACTTCTCAATGATGAGTGAACGTCAAGGAATGATAAGAATGTGTCAAGAAATTCGTTCAGAAATGAAAATTCTGGCGTTGAAATGATTTCTGAGCCAAGGAAATGGATAAGAGAGAAATTGTGACGATTAAAATTACATAGATTTCAGGGAAATCATGTGGTTTTCTTTTTGGATACTCAAGGGACATTTGATCTACAAACAGAGAGGAATATCTCTTCATGGATTGCTTGTTTCAGTCTGTTGATCTCGGATATTCTGGTAATGCTTTAGGGAATTGACCAGCCCAGGTAAAACCGTACTAATTGCAAGCCAGGTTGGATTAGAACAAGTCAGGCTCAATTTAGAATTAGATCAGAACCAGTTCCATGTTACTGTAAGTCATGTGAAGACTAGCTCAGGTTAAAGCCAGACTAAGACCAGACCAAAATCGGATCATGCTTTGGCTTAGGCCTAAGCCTAGCCTTTAGGCTTAAAGCCTAAGGCTAGGCTTAGACCTTGACTGGCCTAGGTCAGACCAAACCAGGCCAGACTAAATCTAGATAGAACACAAAGCTATTCAATGGACTAGAATCAGGATCAGGCAAGAATTAGGCTCAAGACTGGCCAAGTGTAATCCCACCAACTCGACTCGACCAGGTTAGAGGCAGGCTAAGGCCAGACCAAAGTCGGACCATGCCTTGGCTTACGCTTCGGCTTAGGTTTGACCAAACCTAGATAGGACTCAAAGCAGTTCAAGGCTAGGATGGGCCAGGCTAGAATCAGACAATGACTGGCCAAGTTTAATCCCGTCAGCATTAAGCCAAGTCAAAGTTGTGATTCATAATCTTTTACACTTTTCAGCTCGTGAACTTAAAAGGAAACATCGGCGGTGACAACCTTCACGATTTGCATTTGTTTATCGAAATGGCTGGAGCTTGTCCAAAGACTGAACTAGCAAAAGTATCTATATAAACATCGCTGTACCTGGCTTTTTAGAGTTTAACTTTCGTGATCAGAGATGCACCAAAATGGCCAGAGAATGGTTTTCTCGAGAATCTTTGGGTGAGTGATCGTGAATATTCTCGAATCCAGAGATTTAGATAGAATGCCAAAAGTCGAGAGATCTTAAAGAGATCTCTGAATCGTTGCAAAAACGTTTTGAGAATCGAATCGATTGTTTTTGTTGCGCGACCGCATCAGATGGGATTCAGCGGGCAACGGGGACGATCGAGTTGACGGATGAGGGTGAGTAGCTGCAGGCTGTTTCTGGCTGTTATTTCTTGCCATATTATTTGTATTTAAATTAATTATAGACTGTAATTTCTTGCTAGATAATTCGTATTTAG